GGTTTGCAGGGGGCATCTACAAACCCTGACTACAAGCAAGTCCCAGACTTTCAGCAATTTCTCCAGAAGTGTATATTCTGTAGTGTGCTTCTGCCCTTTTTTCTGCAGCTGAAAGGATTTGGCCAGCAGCATCCCGAGTCTCAAGCTAAATCATTCATTAGCTTTGAGAGAAAGGGAGTAGCTTTAGGAGAGAACAGTCCTTGAATCATCTCTCATTTTGCATGTCACAAAGCAAAAGGTGGCCATCACATTAATTACAGCATTTAGCATAACATTTGAATGTATGTAAATAAAAGTAATTATGATAATCACCATGACATTAGAGGAATGATGCTACTTTGTAATTATGCCCTTTCTCATAAGGAACTGTCCCAGTAATTTGGGCTTGAAATTGCCATGGCCCCTAATAAGTTTATGCCCAAGGGAGCAATGTCAGGTTTTGTTGGTTGGGGTTCTCCAGCTTTATTGCAGAAAGCCTCCCTGGAGCAAGAAAAATAAAACTGTTCAGCCTTCTCACAAGTTCAGTGTAATCATCAGCTGGTATGTGCAGAACATTTTATGAGACATGCATACCATTAAGTTTCAAGCACCATCCCCACCATGATTTGGTAGCCCCAAGACTGCTACTCCTGTGAAAGTAAGAGGATGCTTTGACTTAACAAAAAAGATGTGTGAAGGATGGACTACTGCACATCTAGCATAGGCCCAATGCTGTAGATATGAGATGGGGGTTTATGGCCTTCCGAAAGTCATTGGACTCAAAAATCTATCAACCCCAGTCAGTGTGGTCAATGGTCAGGGCTGATGGCAGTTGTAGTCCAAAAACATCTGGAGAACCAGAGGTCTACCATCTCTGGTATATATGCTATGGACAGCTATTTGAATGAGTTTTCTATCTGAAGGGTGCTATAGTGGTGTGTGTGGTTGCCTGGAGTCACCCTCCTCACTCCAGCATTGGCGTGCTGCTGCTTACCTGGACATGGCAGGATGGCAGTGAAATTGGCGCTGCATGGCTGCACTGGCAGTGGTCCCACAGGATGCAGCAACACATCCCAGCTCAACCCTGGCTAGGTTAAACAGTAGTGACACCATTGCTAGGAGGACAGTCCACCATACCACACACTGCTATTGCATGCGCCTGGTTACAATCTTCCACACTATGGTGAGGTGCCCTTCCATTTAAATTATAGGGCTGGGTTCATATATCTGCTTCTGCTAGTGGAAGTCTGTGCAAGGACTTCTGCTAATGGTTTTCCCCCATCCCTTCCCCAAATTGACTCAGGGAGGTTCAGGAGGGAACAGGAGAGTAGAGACTATTCCATCAGGCAAGCAGAAATGATTGTACTGATGGAACAATCTCCCTTAGCACTATGCTGCATCCCTCCCATAGAATTGTCTAAATATGCATCTAAGCTGTGCATATAAATGACCATTTGCACATTTTATGAAGAATTGTGCCTCTTTCCCCCTCTTTTTTTTTTTTTTTTAGTAATGCTGAAGTAACCATCCTAGGCTGGAACAGGTAATAGCTGGATGAGATAAACTGAAGCTGAGTGCCAATGAAGACCGAGGTGCTAACAGAACAGGAATTCAACTTAGCCCTATTTTGGATGGGGCTGCACTCCCACAAAGGCATCAGGTGCTGCTCAGCTTGGGAGGGGCGTGTTGCTTTTAGACCTGGGCCTTACAAAGAGAGCCCTGTTAACATCTCCACCTCTTTATAACCTCTGACCAATTTCATCTGGCATGACAAATGCAGCCTTTCTTGGAAAGAAGGAAATCTAATCACAATTATTCATGCTCCAATAACATCCAGGCTCAATCATTTCAGTTTTGGGGGACTGCCTTTGAAGCTTGCTCAGAAACTTCAATTGATTCTGAACAGAACAACAATATTCCTAATGGGTAACAGCAATAGGGAACACACAAATCATGAAAAAAACCACAGCACTCCTCTGGCTTACAATTTGTTGGCTGGCTCAATCTGAAGTATTGGTGTTGGCCTATAAAGCCCTCCAAGGCTTGGAACCTGGAAACCTGAAGGACTGCTTGCTCCCAGATGGATCTGCCTGGCTAGTAAGATTTCCATGCGCCCCTCTTAGATCACCCACATTTCAGTGTCCTCTTATGTATAATTCAGAAAGAGGAAACACGTCTCCAAAAAAATGAGGGCAAAATAGGACACAGATTTGCATAAAATGTGCATCTGCTAATATATATGTGTAGATGCTCATTTTGAAATAAACTACTCCAATTTATGTGGAAATAGAACATCTCACACCATAACAGAGAAACTGTGGCAAGATTACCTGTGTTCCTGCTTGGTTGATGGGCAGCTTCCCGATATTAGGAAGAACTTGTTTTACAGAGTCCCTTGGAAGGTGGTGGACTTCACTGGGGAATTGAAGCAGATGTTGGGTTGTGATCTGTCATGGATGCTTTAGTTGTGATTCCTTCACTGCAGAGGGTTGGACTAAATGACACAGGGTCCTTTACAACTCTGCCATTCTATGCTTCTATTATTTAACGTCTTATGATGCATTATCTTAAATCCAGATTGTAGCCACAGAGATAAATAGAGTCATTCCGTTGTCTGGATAAGTTACTTCCTGGTTCGCATGAAGAAGCCGTTTTCAAGACTTGGTCCACTTGATCTGATCTTGTCTATTGTGACTTAACTTTGCCTACCTGGATGACTTTATCTGCTGGACTTGACTTTCCCAGACACCACCAGCTTCCCCTGTGAGACTCAAGAAGCCACAGAGCAGGACACAAGCCTATTGTTGTTCTTCCCATTGTTCTTCCCAAGAAGGAGAAGCTGTAGTAGTGGAGGCAGGTGCTGTATTTGGAGGAAGGTGGAAGGTTGGAGCACTCCCTCTACGAAATCTCCCAGGCCTTTAACTATTCGATAATAACAGCTTGATATTTGCTCTACGAATCCGCAACGAAATCCAGGCTTTCGCTGTGAAATGTAAGGTAAACAAACATAGAGTTAGGGATCACCAAACAAGTAATAACATTTCATCTGGGGGATTGCATCCAAAGGAAAATCCCAGTGGAAGGGCACATTGTGGGTTAGTTTTTATAATGCCGGTGTGTCCAAGGAATAGAATATAACCTATGAAGTCCTGACCAAGTCAAGTGCAGTGAACAGTTTGATTTCATAACTGTGCAAAGAAGGTGAATCCCCACAGGAAGGACTGTGAATGCTGGGCTCATTTTATATATTGGCATAGACAGAATGGATTCCTTTTTCAGTGGGGGAATAGCTATCACAGTTGACTTTATTTTCTTTTCCATCTGCTAGGGGGAATATTACAGGAAATTGAAGACAATGATGTGGACAATTTAGCTTTCATAAAATGGAATCCATTATGCAAAGTAGTATCAATATATCCCTAGTCTCCCTTGCCTCACCCCACCCCCCTAAGAAAACCTCTGGGAATTTGTATTATTTTTCTAGAACTGTGTTATCCCAAAAATCAGTTCTGGGTGCTTAATTTCATTGAATGATTAAATTTTACCCAATACTGTAGAATTAAGGGAAGTAGACAAGGAATGTCATGTAAAACTCTTTCTTTCAGTGAGAAAGCAGTGTAGATTAGGACTGAAATGTAAGTTTGTTGAAGAACTGTAGCTCAGTGGTAGAGCAAATGCGTTGCATGCTAAAGATCCCTGGTTCAGTCCTCAGCATCTGCTGACAGGGCTGGAGAGTTACTGCCTGTCAATGAAGACAATATTAAGCTAGATAGACCAATAGTTTGACTTTGTGCAAGGAAACTTGCTCGGTTGGTAGCCATTCTTCTGCTCTGCATGGGTGGGGTGGGGAGCATGCATGGGGGTGAGGTCAGAGGCTGCAACATATGCAATCCCTTATATGTGTTGAGATGAATTTCTCAATAGTAGTATTGATATATTTGGAGGTTCTCAAATCTAGAATTGCTTCATCATTTCAGCTGCCTGTTTTGCAAATGATACCACTTTTTGTCTGTATTGCTCAGCGTCAGGTGGTGGTTGCAAAGTTCCAGAAGAAATGTATCTTATCTAAAGTTAAAACAAAGTATGGAAAAGGTGGGGATCACAACTGATTCAAAGTTCTGTCGCTGAATTCTATAACTGATCCCACTATTCATAATCTGAGTGTCTTAAACTTGTTTCACAGCATCTTGATTGGGTTTTCTCAGATGTCAAATATCATAAAGCAAGAAAGTGTCTTTCTGAGAGTTAAAGAAAGACAAATTTATTGTGGCATAAGCTTCTAAGGTGCCTCAAGGCTTTTTGTTGTTTTCGGTGCAACAGACTTAACACAGCTACCCCTCTGGAAATTACATAAAATGTCAGCTATCAAAATCTATACAAATTACATGTCACCTGTAAATCTATATTGAATTGTGTTTGTGGCGGTATAGCTTTCGGCATCCATTGGCTGAGCAGGTGTGATGGTATGGAATGCTCGTGAACATTCCAAATGCCCAGGCAGCAAAGCCAACGGAATGTTTTTGGTCCAGCTTCTGTGAGGGAAGGGAAAGTTATCCGTGGAATAAAACTTTGTAGAAGTCTTAGGGACTGGAAAAGCATAAATCAGGTGAGGACTAGGAAGAGTTCCTTGGAACATTAAAGGGGGGAGGTGCCTGGATGAAAGAGGAAGAGATCAGTTACACTAGGGATAGAGAGGCAAAGTGTGATGGGGACTGAATGGATGGATAATTGACTAACCAGGCATCTACTACCATTAAATATAATATAAATATACCTTTGCCTGTTAAATATAATCTAGGGTTTTTAAAAAAGTGAATTAGTCCTTTAAACTGAATGTAAATAGGGGGACCATGTTTCTGCTTGTGATGTTGCCACAGATTATATGGCGGAATGGCATGTGAAACTTTTCTCTGCTGGAAGATCTTGCCAGACTGAGTGTTCTTGTTTTTCTTCTTCCTTTGATTTAAAGCCTTGACAGATCTGGGGCACTATGATTCAGAACAAACACTAATTCACACATGAACTTGTGAAACATTTTATGAGAGTAAAAGCTGAACACTAGCTCTTCCCATCAGCTGGAACTTGACAGTCCTAAGTATTGGCATTAGAAAGCACCCCCTATCTGAAGTTATACTTCCCCAAATTTTATTCCGAAGAGGTCCTCATTATCAAGATACGGATAGGTTCAAAGCACCAGGCTTTTTCTGTATTCAGAAGAGGAACAATATTTGTCATGTTCCAACATCACAGCTGCACTTCCTACCATAACTCATTTCATCAAGCAAGGGCTGTGACTTCAGGAGAACCAATTAGAGACTAATTGCTTTAAACACGGTCATACTTCATTGTGCAGCCTTAACAGTGAATCAATACACAATGGTTCTGCATCAACTCAATCAAGATTCTCTTGGGAGGAAGGTTTTGGGCACCATCCTGTATCCACTCAAGAACTTCTCACTGACTAATAAAACCAAAACAAGCACATAACCATACTTCCCTTCACAGGCATCACAGGACTTAAGAAAAAGCATGCACAGGAATTATGCTTCAGTTTTCATTAGATGTCCACAAATTCCAGTGTTATAAGGGGGGGGGGTAAAAGAATTTCTCCATATCATGACCCACAAGATTCACATACTCTTCCCATGCTGTCCTCTTTCTCCACCCCTCCAGCTTGGGCCCTGTAATCCAGTTTTGTGTTCTGTATTTCTCATTACATCTGAAACATAGAAATATTGTTTAATGTTGGGTTACCAGCCAGGATCTTAAACCTGGTTTAAACTATGGTTTAAGATCCTAGGATTTATCATTTCAGACACAATCTCTGTCTTAGAGATCATGATGGCATGGAAGAAGAGAAAAGAAATGAAATGAGACAGATCTGGACCTATGCTTGTTCATAATTTAGGAATCTGGAATCAATGCATCCAAACCAGCCCATGCTCAATGGTGTTTGGGCTACAGTTTGTAATTTGACTTCAAATGTTTCTGTATTTTGATAGCAGCATTCATACACATAACTATCTTGATTAACTTTTACATAATATTATACAGTGGTACCTCGGTTTTCTAGGGACGTGGGTGGCACTGTGGGTTAAACCACAGAGACTAGGACTTGCCGATCAGAAGGTCAGCGGTTCGAACCCCTGTGACGGGGTGAGCTCCCGTTGCTCGGTCCCAGCTCCTGCCAACCTTGCAGTTTGAAAGCACGTCAAAGTGCAAGTAGATAAATAGGTACCGCTCCGGCAGGAAGGTAAACGGCATTTCCATGCGCTGCTCTGGTTCGCCAGAAGCAGCTTAGTCATGCTGGCCACATGACCCAGAAGCTGTACACCGGCTCCCTTGGCCAATAAAGCGAGATGAGCGCTGCAACCCCAGAGTCAGTCATGACTGGACCTAATGGTCAGGGATCCCTTTACCTTTACCTTTACCTTTACCTCAGTTTTCGAGCATCTAAGAAGCTGGACATTTCGGTTTTCGAACCCTGAAAACCCAGAAGTAATTGCTTCCATTTTAGAATGCTTTTCGGAAGTCGAGTGGCTTCCAGGGAGGTTTTTTCAATTTTATCCATTGACTTTGCACCTCAGTTGTCAAACGTTTCAGAAGTCAAATGGTCTTCTGGAACAGATTACATTCGACAACCAAGGTACCACTGTATTTTATACACATTAACCAGATACATAGATAGGTAGATGATGATAGGCTAGATAGATAGATAGATAGATGATAGATAGATAGATAGATAGATAGATAGATAGATAGATGATAGAGGATAGAGATAGATGATAGATAGATAGATAGATAGATAGATAGATAGATAGATGAACCCTCTTGATCACCTTGGCTTTCTGTCAGAAGAAACTGCAAGGCAGTAAAAATGTTCAGTAAACCCCTTTTATTGTTTTATGGGAAACTTTAACAATGAATGAGAAAAGGTCTGGTCTCTATTCAAAAAGCTGATAAGACAAGTGTGAGCACCTCATATCCTCAGAGTAGTGAAGTAATCAAAGTTTCCTAGTACCATGGCAAATATATGTAACTTTCTAATAAATATTGCACTTCCTCCACAATGCAGCAGGAACAGAAGGGAAATATGGTATATATTTCCTTCTTCCTGGCTGTAGTACATCTGCAGACTGCAGTAGCTTGTATTGTTTTGTTTGCAAAAGAAAGGAAAAAGGGAAATTGCACAGATTTTGGAGTGCAAATAATATATACAAGTAGTATAAATGAAATTATAGCAAGAAGGAAACATGTAGCAAAATGTAGATTTGTGTGTGCAGAAATGAATGCACACAAAAATGCATCTCCATATAAAAACTGCACATATTATTGGCAGGCAGTGGTGTCGCAAGGGGGTGGGGGGGCGGTGCGTCCCGGGGGCCATGTCTGGGGGGGTGACAAGAAGGCACCCCGTGTGGTGCTCGCCCCGCAGCCCCCGGGTGAAGGATCCTCCGTTTGCGGCTGCGGCCATGAGCAGAGGATCCCGCCACCGTCCATACGCCGTTTGAGCGGCGCCAGCGGCAAACCGCTATGTACAACGCATGCGTGGCGTTGCACACATGCGCTCTACGTAGCGACGCCACACACACACTGTACATAGCGGTTTGCCACCGGCGCTGCTCGAGTGCTGTACGGACGGCGGTGGGATCTTGCCACCACTGCTACATCCACAAGTGGAGGATCCCACCACCATCCGTATGGCGCTCAGGCGGTGCCGGAGGCAAACCGCTACATACAACACATGTGCAGTGTCACACGCATACGCTGTGCATAGTGCCACCACACATGCACCCTACGCATTTGTCACACATTTGTCATACGTAGCGGCACAATGCGTGCGCAGCTGGCAGTTTGCCCCACCCCAGGCGTCTGTTAGCCTCCATTCGCCCCTGTTGGCAGGGCCCTTATTGCTTTAGCATGTGCCTAGCTGAAAGGTTGAGTGACATCGGAAGAACCCTGGAAAGCCAATGTCCACCAGAATGGGCAATACTGGCCTACACGGACCAACAGAATGAGCTTATGAGATGCAGCACTTCTTCTGGGTTGGGGAGGCAGAAGGCATGGCAGCCAAATTGCTAAAGCTTGCAAATCCACGCAACAGCCCTGTTGCATAAGGCCCAGCATCCTGTCCTCATTGCAACCAACCAGATGCCTGCCAGTAGGGATAGATGGACCTCTCAGTTTTGGTTTCCTCATTTTCCCTATTTTCAATTCAATTCCGCAACAATTTATGATTTTAAAAAAATAATAATCCTCAACTATATTGAGCAGCATTTTAGTGTGAATTTCTGGTAATCAGTGCTTTTTGAGGAGGTTACTCAAGGGAACTTTTTTCCAAATATTAAAAGTTTGGCATTTACTGTAACAGCTATGTAAATGCCAAACTTTTAACATTTGGAAAAATGTTCAGGTTACAGACTCCACTAACCCAGAAATAATACCTTGATTTAAGAACTTTGCTTCAGGATGAGAACAGAAATCGCATGGCGGTGGCGTGGCAGCAGTGGGAGGCCCCATTAGCTAAAGTGGTACCTCAGGTTAAGAACAGTTTCAAGTTAAGAACAGACCTCCAGAACAAATTAACTTCTTAACCCGAGGTACCACTGTATTCATTTTTATGTACCCTTTCCCTTAATTATGTGCATTTTTGTTATATGTGCTTGGTTGGATGACTGCACTGCAAAATTCAGATAAATGTGAATCTCAAAGGCTGTGTTCTGATTCTCATATTGTTTTGGAAAATGTGCATTGGAGAGTCGGTGGAAGAAGATTGGAAAAAATTTAAAGTATATTTACAGAAACATTGTAAAATTAATGAGTGTTAGAAGGATGCTGGAATGAAGCTATATGGTTTTAGTAGAAATGTAACAAAGAATTAAGTAAAAGCTGATTGATAATGGGCCAAAACGAAAAAATTTAAGGTTAGACCGTTAAGATAAATTATAGAACAAAAATTGAGAAAGATGGAAAGAATTTGCTGAAATAGTGAATTGAACTAGAATACAAAAAAGGGAGGTGTGAGGAAGTCGATGAAACAAGTAAAGGAAAGGTAAAGATATGGAATATTGGATGTGTGTTTTAGTCTTTTTGTTTCTTTTTACTGTATTGTTGTATTGCTTTTCTATGTTTTTCTTTTTATGTATTGTAAGGTATGTTCTGGGAATTTTTTTTTTATTGTTGTCTTTTTCTTTTTTCTGTAATCTTTAAACTTCTAATAAATATCATTTTTTAAAAAAAAGGAAAATGTGCATTGGGTAGGTTTGTCTTTAAATTCAACTGGTATTCAAAGACATACTGCCTCCAGTAGCAGAGAGAGTGAACAGCCATTGTGGCTAGTAGCCACTGATAAGTCTATTTCTCCCCTGGATTTGTCTAATCCTCTTTTAAAGCTATCCAAGGGGTGGGTTTTTTGCCATCATTACAGCGTGTGGGAGCAAAATAAGAACATGAAAAATGAGAGTGGACGTCCCTCTCGCTGCTCTCAGAAAGCGAGGCCCCCAAAATCCTATGGCCCTTGGAGCACCTTCCCAGGGACCACAGTATTGTGTTCAAAGGCAGTTATGTATGACCATGCAGAAAAGCAATGCATCCTTAAATCATGTCCCAGATCCATAAGACCATAAGATCCATAAGACCATAGGAGACCCACCGGGTCAGACTAAGAGTCAGGTGCTTCCAAGGAGCCTGCAAGCAGGACATGAGTGCAATAATACTCCATGCTGAACATCTAATACTTACCGTATTTTTCCGTGTATAAGACGCCCCCTATTTTTCGGGACTCAAAATTAAGAAAATGCACTATACAGTGGTACCTTGCAAGACGAATGCCTCGCAAGACGAAAAACACGCAAGACGAAAGAGTTTTCCATTTTTCCGTTTTTTGAGTCGTTCCGCAAGACGAATTTCCCTATGGGCTTGCTTCGCGAGACGAAACGTCTTGCGAGTTCTTGCGAGTTTGTTTCCTTTTTCTTAAAGCCGCTAAGCCGTTAATAGCCGCTAAGCCGCTAATAGCCGTGCTTCGCAAGACGAAAAAACCGCAAGACGAAGAGACTCGCGGAACAGATTAATTTTGTCTTGCGAGGCACCACTGTATACTATAAGACAACCCCTTATTTTAAACTTCAAAAATTTAGGGAAAAAATATAGTCTTATACACAGAAAAATACGGTATATGGAACTTAAACACCTGCAGCCTCCCCAATTTAGCTTAATGTGTTAGCGGAGCAGCATTCCTCGCTGAACTTTATGCAAAGTTCCTATGGCAGTAGGAGCAATGCACATAGTCAGAAGGAACCACTAGACTAGGACACGCCGAGGCATGCAATTCGTCAAACACTGTGGCATCAGCATTGCCTGATTGATTTGCACGGTAATTTTGCAACAAAAGTCAAAGCAAAAACTTGAAATAGCTATTGTAATGTTAAAATGGTTAATTTTTGTTCTCTTTTAATATATATATATATATCTCTATATATAAGGCCAGAGCCTTTTAAGCATGACGCACATAATAAAGTTGAAATTTTAACATCACTTAATAAAAAATGTGCTTCTCATAATAAAGCCCACAGTACCCTTGAAAAAGAGTGATCAAAAGGACTAAGTGGTATAATTAATCCAGTGTTAATTGGTAATTGGAATCTTTGCATTATTTATGCAAATATACTAAAGCAAGTATAATTTTTTAAAAAAATAATAATAATAATCTGCCCCCAAAGGAGGAAAAGTCTAAAGCTATTTTGAAACCATTTGTATCACAGTTAGAAATGTGGCCAGGGATCTTCTGTAAAAAGTTCCTTGTAAACAAAGTCGTATTTGTTTTAGCCCGAATCATCTTGCAGATGTGCCTGCTGCTGGATGCTTCTTAAAGTGTATGCAATACTTTCTGTATACAATGGTATAGGTGACTTCTCAATTAAAAATACAAAGGCGGCAATCCAGGGCTCTTTGTGATGCATAGGAAGGTATGTGCTGAAGTTAACGGCACAATTCTTGAAGGCAGAGGAAATCCCACAGGGACTGGAGTGCCCACATGTTTAAGTCTTTATGCGGCACAAGTGATTATTATCATGCTGACACAAAAACCAAAGGTATTCGTTCCAAAGAAAATGGGATGTCGGATCAAATCCTTTATAACTTCCAAAGTCCCTTTTATGGAGTTCAAGAGTTCTTCCATTTTTAATTTACTAAGTGTCTTCATTATCACATCTCCAGCATTGCATTATTCCAGTTCAATTTCTCCTGCGTACACCGTGATCAGCAGAATCGCAGCAAACCCTGTGAGCAACCCAGCATTTTGGATCAGGAAGAAGACTAGATCTGTTTTTCTTCCGGTCACTTTTTCTCTCAGCATGTCGTTCATCTCTGGGAACTAGAGGAGGCAGAAGGAAGGAAGTTTTTAGGTAAGTGTTGCCATCTGGTGGAACAACATGCTACATTAGAATTTCGTGGTGTTTTTTTAACGCATGCATTGATTTATGTTACATTACTGTATAAGATTGGGTTGGGTTCTTAAGCTGCTGGAGCGGCAACGATCTGGGTGTTGTATCCAAGTGATTACTTCACCAAGAAAGGAACACTGGAAATTGCTTCCTCCTCAGCTGAGCCTCTCTTTGTAAGTTTCAGGGATGGGCTCACATCCATCTTGTGCAATGCCCATTCACTTAAATGGAGCTTGTGCAAGGGAGCTTCTCAGTAGTTTAAGTCTATGGGTGGGCCAAGCAGCAGAGAGGGGCAGACCTGATAGCAGCTGTAGTTTGCAAGTAAGAAGCACTGCTGCAGGACAACCAACCAGCAGATGCAAACAGATGTTTGCTAATTGGCTAGTAGCACTGTCATGGGCTGTTGGTGTTGTTGGAGGTGGCAACTTGCCTGCCCAGTGCTGACCCAGGCATCTCCTGTTTCCCTGACTATTTTCTGCCTGCAACTGCTAAGAGACCAGATTATTCCTCTTCAGGGTAGCTGTGTGTTCTACTTTAGAGGGCAGCCTTTTGTTCTGAAGGGGTGTAAGTCCTCTATCTATTTTAAAGGCTGTCCAGAAGTTTGGTTTAAAGCTATGGAAATATTGAAAGTAATGGAGAGGTTGAGGAACCTTGAAGTTCCCAGTCAACTGTCAGCACCATCAGATCAGTGGACTGAGCAGACACACAGGTCACGTGGGGTATTCCCCACTACAGTGAAAAATTCATCCCTCTGCTGAAGCATAGCAAATCCAGCCATACCTTGGATCCCAAACGCCTTGCGAGTCGAACGTTTTGGCTCCCGAACGCCACAAACCCAGAAGTGAATGTTCTGGTATGCAGACGTTCTTTGGAACCCAAAGGTCCAACGTGACTTCCGCAGCTTCCGATTGGCTGCAGGAGCTTCCTGCAGCCAAGTGAAAGCCGCGCTTTGGTTTCCGAACATTTTGGAAGTCGAACCGACTTCCGGAATGGATTCTGTTCGACTTCCAAGGTACCACTGTACTAGCATTCCAATCTCTAGACTGCCCTGTATGGTGAAGATAGCATGGAATAAATATATATCATAAACTATCACAGTCTCTTGGGAAAGGGGATGGACAACATTTAAATAAAAATGTTGTGTTGTTGATGGCTGTGATGTGCCCTGGATCTAAGGGTGAAGAGTGGATAATAAAAGTCAATGTGTTGTAAAGGTTAGAACATTGGGACTCTGGGAGACAAGGGTACAAATCTCCACTCAGCCATGAAAATTGCAGGGCAACCTTGGGCATGTCACTGTCTCTCAGCCTAACCTACCTCACAGGTTTGTTGTGAGCATAAAATGGAGAGAGGAGAAGCATGTACAACCGCCTTGAGCTCTTTGGAAGAAAAAGTGGCATATAAATGTAGTGAAGAAATAATAATAAGATCAAATATTATAATAAAGTTCAGTGCTATCCTACTTTTTCTACAAAATCAGGGGAACTGGTTTCTTTCAGAAGAAAAACAGAACTGTGAATTCTAGAACTTTAATGAAACTAAGACATTTTGCACTAGATTCTGTGATCAAGATAAATACAGTTTACCAAGACACATCATCCAGAGATTCAAACAGAAGAAAAAAGAATGCAATGAAAAAGCCCACAGAAGCCACTTCTAACCTGACAGGTAAATGCATCTCTACCACTAACTTGCCAGTTTATCATTGCAGCACACTCTCCTTGGAAATTAATTCAAAGACACTGGAGGCGGGGGAACCTTCTGCTTCTGCAAAGTGCTGACAAACACAGATCAACAAAATTGCTTTGCTGGCTGCTTATCAAAGATGAGGTAGGATCAAGTTCAAAGTTTTCAAGGCCCTCTGAAACTTAAGTAATACAAAAACTAACTCTCTGAAAACACCTTTCCAGTCCCAACACAATTTAATTTTCTAGGGATGGAACCTCAGAGGGGAGAAGGCAGCCATTAGTGCCATCATCTCCCACTGCAGCTAAAATTTCTTCCACAAAGCTAATAATAAGGATGAACTAAGCCATCTTCATTGTTCAATAACAATATTTTTTAAATCCCTGTTTAGGAGCATGAGAAGAGGCTTGCTGGATCAAAGAAAAGGCCCACTTTGTCCAGCATCCTGTACTCACAGTGGCCAATCATATACACCCATGTGAAGCTCCCAAGCAGGCCAAGCACTCTTCTCTACTTTTGATTTTGGTACTCAGAGGCATACTGCCTCTACCTTCACAACACAGGGAGTAAAATACAACAACACAGTCCTCCTTGTCAGTAACAGGTCAAAGTAATGAAGAAGAGTTTGGATTTGATATCCCGCCTTTCACTCCCCTTCAGGAGTCTCAAAGCGGCTAACATTCTCCTTTCCCTTCCTCCCCCACAACAAACACTCTGTGAGGTGAGTGGGGCTGAGAGACTTCAGAGAAGTGTGACTGGCCCAAGGTCACCCAGCAGCTGCATGTGGAGGAGCGGAGACGTGAACCCGGTTCCCCAGATTACGAGACTACCGCTCTTAACCACTACACCACACTGGGCAGCTATACCCAGATCTAGCTTGAAGAGACCTTGCAAACCAGGGAAGAGTGGGTGGGTTGCTCATCTATTGCCAGAACTATCATGGTCCATCCAGAATATGGAGCTAGGAGACACGAAGTCCCATTTCAGACAGATTCACAGCCATGAATTTATTCAGCAACCTTGGAGCTAAGCTAGATGTTCCCTTGAGACAGCTACATATCTTGTTTTTCCTAAAATAATTACAGGCACAAGGACTCCAGTTCTTAATAGGAAGGCAGTGAACAAGAGGGTGGACTTAGTCCTTCTCTTGCATGCCACAGCTGGGAAAGGGGGCAGTCTTCACTGGCAGGCCAAGGGATTAAAAGACCATTAAAATCAATATGACAGACCATGGACCACCTGAATGAAGCTCACAGACCACTGATGGTCCATGGTCTGCAGTTTGGGAACCCCTACTTTATATGTTTTTAATGTGACATTTGTTTTTCTTACTGGTGACCTTAAATCAGCTGACCATCGTTTTCCCTAAAGACTTGTGGCTAATCTAGACCTTGGTGAAAACAAGACCTGTTGGTACATGAGTAGCACCTGTCTGCATCACCCACAGTCTCTTCGGGTCTATTCTCAACCCCAAACAGCTTCTTGGAGGGCTTCTGAACACTGTAGCTATGACTCACCCACTTCAGTTGGCTTTAAGGCTCAAAAGCACTCTCAGCTCTGAATGCTGACCCTTCCTAGGAGGGGTCAACAGTTAACGTTCTCTTGGAGATCAATCAAGCACCTCCTTCAGCATCCTAGAGATTCCAAGTCTTTTCTCTCCCACCCCCTTGAGATGCAAAGTCTTGAATAGGCATAGCCACTTTAATCAATCAACACACAATAATCATTGTCCAATGAAGAGATAACTGTAAACAAAGCTCTGTTCTCAGTATGCTACTGCAAATAACCATTTCAGGATTTCCCCATGTTCTGTTAACAGTACAATCCTATGCATGTTTACTCAGAAGCAAGCTCCACTGTATTCAGTGGGGTCAATTCCAGTGTAAGCATGCATAGGGTTGCAATCTTAAATTGTGTGTTGGTTGGCTTCCTTAGGGAATCTGAGGAAATATGCCCAGTGGCCATCCCTTGATGCTTTCACTATACATGACAGAATCATTGTTTTTACAGCTTTTCAGGGCATTTTTCCCTCTGAAGGAAAAGCCAAGATGGTTGGTAACCCCTATTCCACAAGCAGAAGTCAACTGGACCCACAGTGAGTCTTAGGCCCCATCTGCACTACATATTTAAAGCAGTATTTATACCACTTTAAACTGCCATTGCTTCCCCGATGAATCATGGAAACTGTAGATTGTTAAGGGTGCTGAAAATTGTTAGGAGACCTTGTATTCCCCACACAGAGCCAGAATTCCCAGAGCTCACTGCAAAGGGGAATTGATTTTATGTGACTCTGGGAATTGTAGCTCTGAGAAGGGAATAGGGATCTTCTAACAACTCACAGCACCCTTAACAAACAGGATTGCAGGGAAGGGGAGCCATGGCTGTTTAAAGGGGTGTAATATTGCTTGAATTAGAGAGATATTTAAACATCCCCAGAAACGATAGACATTGCAGATGTTTTTTGAATGTGCTGGACACAGTAGAATATATTATTTTCTACTGTCTATTGTACAACCAGCTACACAAAGGCATGCTATTCCCCCTTTTTGGATAGTCTAACATCACGACACAATGAAAATATCAGATTCTATCTGTCTGACATTAACTGCAAGGGTGGCTGTGTTTCTATCAATAGTATCTTTCAGAGTGGTGAATGGCACTATTTAGCAGGAAGAAACTCCAATGAAAATCTTCGTTATTACATATTTTTACATGGCTGTTTATTTGTATATATTTTAATTTTTTACTTATGGGTGTTTTATGAAGGCCTATATTTGTAGCGCCTAATAAAGGTTTGGCAAAGTAAGTAAGAAATATAGAGTGCAGACTGGGCCTTACTTCAATACTGGTGGTGGGAAAGTATGTTGCATTGCTCCTGAAAGTGACATGCTAGCTCAGAGGGCATAGGCCAGGCCATCCCCTTAAAGGAACAAAGTGGCCAGTAGGTTCAAGAGGATTTGAGGGGTGGGATCCTGCCACTCCCCTCCAGCACCTGCTGCCCAAGGCAGTTGACTCCCTCTGCCTAGTGGTAGGGCAAGCCCTGGGTGCCTTCAGGGATGATGGCTGAAGCACTTTGTCATTCAGCCCCCAGATGAGTCTTTCTTCAAAGAACCTGCCTACTAGTGTAGGGAAGGAGAGCACCCTTCGCTTGAACACCAATTCCCACTACACGTGGTCAGCTGCAATTGCATGATGGCAGCCACCATGTGAAACAATTCAAACTTAACTTATTTAAACTGAGTTTAATGCTGTCTTTTTAAATGTTGTAACCTGCCCTGGGACCTCGTGGTGGATAAGAAATCGAATTAATAAGAACAACATGCTTCCACTTGGTACTCTTGACATATCATCTCTGATGTCTAGTCCAGGGTTCTTCAACATTGGGTTCCTAGTTCCCATCATCCCTGATCATAGGCTAATCTGGTTAGGGATTATGGGAGTTGTAGTTGAGCAACAGCTGCAGACTCAAGGTTGCAGAACACTGACTAGTCCATCCACGCATGATGTAGCTATTAAGGCTGTAGAACTGAGGTGATAAAATGCTAGACTGTACCATTCCAGAATGCAGGTGGGAGGTAATATTATTCAATATAAAAAGCTTCCTACCTATAGAAACACAGGAGAACTCTGCTAAAGTTTTCTCAGAGATGCACTTAATTTACTCTATGTAGAAAGCTTGTTTTCCATGGGGGACTATTCAGAAATATGAGTCCTCCTGCTTGCATTCTGAATCCTACCACTTCGCCCTGCTTAAAGTGAAAACCAGCTTGTAATGAGCAAGTGAGAGATGGAAGAGAGAAACAAGAGTTCTAACAAATCCTACCTGTTTCTAGACAGAGAGGAACAAGGTAGAATTCAGCAGAAAAAAACAGGAGTCTGTACTGAGCATTCACACACATCATTTACATTTTGTTCAGACACAACATTAACGGTTCCGGTCTAGACACCTACAGACAGAGAGATTAGAAAGGTAGACAGAGAAACCTATCACCTATTGGCTTTAAAACAGGGGTGTAAACATGGTAATACTGAAAAGAGTCAGAGAGATAGACAGCAATTGTAGTTTCCTAGCTGGCCCTTTGCCCTTAGCAGAGAGAGAGGTTCCAATCACAGAACTGTAGAGTTGCAAGGGACCCCAATGGTCATCTAGCCCAACCCTTTGCAATGCAGAAATAGAAACCAACAGAGCTATATTCCTCTTTTATGCAGAAAGATGCCTATCCAAAGGAAGGAAGAGCAAACACTGGACTCATTGAGTGCACAGTGACCTTAGTACTAGGTTTGTTCATCTGTCTCTAATTTGGAGGCAAAAAACAACTCTCAACAAGTAGTCTCCATCATAGTCATTGCTTTCTCCACCCATCCTTTCCCATCACTGATCTTCTGTTTTGTTCTGGTGATGTTGCACGTGTGACTCTTAAAATTGAACTCTTGGTCCATATTTCACAAATCCCCACCCCAAAAAACACAGAGAGAGACATGTGCACACACCACCTAATTGTTCCAAACATTTTAAAACAAGCAAAGTTTTGAGTGCAGTTTAGTGACTTGGTGGGGAGGGTAGATGTTCTAACGGCTCGGGGTGGGGGGAGAGAGAAAGCTGAGGTCTCTTCCACAGATTTTGCTCATCCTTCGGGATCAAACTCACTGGAGTTTTAGACGGATATCCTGCACCGGCCCAACACATTTTGCTGCCTGATGCAAAAGACAAGATGGTGCCCCTCTCCCATTCCATTCACACAGGCCAACTGGACTGACAGCTGGATGTTATTTGAACACAGATGATGGATCAGCAACCTCCACTGTACCTGAAGGCAGCAGGCTGGTGTACAGGGGGAAGGGCAGGCTGTACGCCGCACGCAGAGATCTGTCCCCCAACACCTTGCTGCTACTTCCTGCTCCCTAGCATCTGCCTCCTGGTGTGGCTTTCTCACGCTGCCCAATGGAAGGGCTGGCCCTGCATGCAGCACATTATTCATATCAGGGGTCAGCAAACTTTTCAGTAGGGGCTGGTCCACTGTCCCTCACACCTTGTGGGAGGCCAGACTATTTTTTTGGGGGGTGGGTGAACAAATTCCTATGCCCCACAAATAACCCAGAGATGCATTTTAAATAAAAGCACACATTCTACTCATGTAAAAGCAACCGGCAGGCCCCACAAATAACCCAGAGATGCATTTTAAATAAAAGGACACATTCTACTCATGCAAAAACATACTGAACTGTCTGGGGCCGGATTTAGAAGGCGATTGGGCCAAATCTGGCTCCCGGGCCTTAGTTTGGCTACCCATGATTCATACTGACTTCAAATGGACTTTACGCAGTGTAGCAATATGCTGGATTGCAGTGCCGACACCAGAGAGCGCTATTCCAAGGGTCGGTATTTATAAGAAACTTAATTCCCACAAGGAATTAGTTTAACGCTACTGAGATACACGCCGTGATTCAACTGCAACTCCCTCACACAGATGTATTATCTTGTATCACAACCATGTAAACCAGGACTCCAGAACATCAGGAACAAGAGGTTGAAGAATGTGGCCCTACAGGCTTCCTGTTTGGCCCTCAAGACTCTTACTAGACCTTTCCCCAGGGCACAGCCACCACTGGCCCTGTTCTGCAGCCTCCTCTAGTCCTTTTGCCTGACTGGGTTATGCCCTGGAACTATTAATCCTTTTTGTTTGCCTGGATGGGAAAGTGTGTGAGGAAGGTAGAAACCTGGCCAGGAGTTTGTGGCTTGAACACAGCCTGGAATACCAAGAAAAGTACCACATCTGCCCACTTTTGCCTCTGGTCCACTGGCATGTGTCCCCTGGAAGCTTCCCCACAAGGGAAGGCAGCCCCTCAGGCTATAAAAGATTCCCCCTCCTGGTATGGGTGTGGGTGTTTCTACATGCCAACCACTCCTGCTTTGTGACATATTTGTGTTGTATCGATGATGCTGTTGGAAATGTATTATGGGAAGGGGGTGGAGAAGTCTTAAAAGTTCGTGTAACTCCACGCTCGGGGTTCCTACTCTGTGTGTTTGAACCTTGTTGCAATAATAAAGACCACGTCTCCTGACTGCTGTTTGGCTATCTGGCTTCTTAGCTGAATATAAGAATTGTGGTTCCATGAGGATAAATGGTCTGATTCATACATACACATAGTATTCATACAATATAGTAGGAGCTCACCATATCTGCCAGGGAAATGTATAGGAACATGCCTCCAGCGATTGCAAAGATAATGTTTGGAGCAAAGTTGTTGCCCACTACTATACCGAAAGCTAGTCCAACATAGCAGGAGCATGCTGATATAAAATTGAAAAACAAGGCCTGCCGAGTGCTCATTCCTGCATTAAGAAGGATGACAAAATCCCCTGGGAAAAGAAAAGCAGGGAAATGGTCAACAAGCAATATTATCATTATTGTTATACATTCCACACACACAACCCCACTCCCAACAAGAGAATTAAAAAGACATGAGTAGTGCGTATGAAAATTATAGTGACACCATCATTTCATTTTTCCATTTCAATGCGGCAGAACACTTGTTGGTTGTCTCTTGTTTGATGAGAACTCTCTTAATGCATTCATCTAACAGCTAGCTGAGTTAATGGAAAACATCTTACCCAGTTCGTGAGGAAACTCTTCACATAAGATTGCTATAGATGTGCTAATTCCTTGAAGTAGGGAAAGGGTGAAAGAAGCACCGATGGCTAGTCCATCAATGAAGTTATGCAAAGCATCACTCAGCGTGATCATCCAGGCAATTGTGCCAATCTCTGACAGTGCAGGTCCCCTGAAACATTTACACGAGTTGTTTTCGGTTTCTTCCTTCTGTAGATGACAAAATTACAGAAAAATAAAACAAGGCCCCAAAGTCCTTTCTCTCCACAGAGAGCAAATATTACATAGGAAGCTGTAGCCCTGTTGAATTACAGTTTTGCCTAAAAGGCCTAAGATTGCAATCCCAACTTCACTTAAAGGTAAAGGTAAAGAGACCCCTGACCATTAGGTCCAGTCGTGGCTGACTCTGGGGTTGTGGCACTTATCTCGCTTTATTGGCCAAGGGAGCCGGCGTACAGGTACCGGGTCATGTGGCCAGCATGACTAAGCCATTTCTGGCAAACCAGAGCAGCGCACGGAAACGCCGTTTACCTTCCCGCCAGAGCGGTACCTATTTATCTACTTGTACTTTGACATGCTTTCGAACTGCTAGGTTGTCAGGAGCCGGGACCGAGCAACAGGAGCTCACCCCATCACGGGGATTCAAACTGTCAACTTTTCGATCAGCAAGTCCTAGGCTCTGTGGTTTAACCCACAGTGCCACCTGCGTCCCTCAATTTCACTTACCTGGGGTGAAACCCAATTAGAATCAATGGGACTTACTTTCAAGTGGACATGGTTAAGATTGCAACCCAAGTCACTATAAATCAGATTACGGCTACTTTTTGTTTTTTGCATTCTCCATACAGTGGCATTCAAATGGAAGTGGTTTGTCCAAAGGAGGTCAACATATGATGAACTCTGATGCTGCCCTCATGTTTCCAAGGATGCAAAAAATTATTTGCATGATGTGGCTGCTGTAAGAATACACAACATCTTAGATCCCTTCAGGTGACCTAGTTTCTCATGAATTTTATGGCATGTCTATTTTATTTGCTTTTTTTATTTTTTTACCCACCCTTCATTCCAAGTAGCCCAAGGGTGGGGTACAAAAACACAACTTTAAAACCAACAGTAACACCCATTGACACAATAATACTATAAAATGGGAGCAAATAAAAATCAATAAGCGGCAGCCGGTACAGAGATGTACTATTTCAAGACTAGGTCTGAAAACTCAAACTCTACCAATGCCTAAGTGCAAATCCAAACCCCGCTTTGAGTAAAAAATGGAGGATGCTTGAATGGGTCTTGTGATAGGAATTTTATGGTCTTAGATATATGGTAATGTTCATAACCACACATACATAGATCAGCACAGGAAGACCAACCTGGAACCATTTTGATTCCAAAACTGACCAAATGCTTTCTCTGCAAGGTCAAAATGGAAAAGCCTCCCTATTTTCTTTTTCTTCACAAATCCTGTCTTAAGCGTATGTCTGTGTTTGAATAAGGTTAGGGTTAGCCTGTGACCTGGCCCAGGAACTAAGTATTTATCACTACAAAAGAATGGCAAGGCTCCCCAGGAAATCCAATCAAGTAACCTGCCAGACAGGAGATAAACAAGGACAGGAGAAAAAACAACATGCAAATGTTCTGTTTTAGACAGCTTTTTTTGTGTGTGTGTATGTATGATGTTTCTGGGGGTGGTCTTGATCTACAGGATGGGAATTTCAAAAGTCTTTATAAGGCCTTGCATGCCATTTTTCTGGGTCCTCCTCCTTTCCTGCGTGTGAGGGGAGCACCCTGTTGCAACAGATCAATAAAGATCAGGCTTACTAGCTGCTTTGCTTCTCAATATTCTCTGTTTGGCCTCTGTTATTTTCTCCTACCAATAGGGAACCTATGTAAGGACTCTATATGGGCTCTTGGATACCCCATAAGGGGAAAGGGCAATTTTTATTTACAACAGTCTAAAAGAGGATTAGACAAATTCGTGGAGGATTAGCTTCAGTCGGTACAGCACGAGTATCTTAATCTCAGAGTTGTGGGTTCAAGCCCCATGTTGGGCAAAAGATTCCTGCATTGCAGGGGGTTGGACTAGATGACCTGAGTATTCCCTTTGAACTCTACAATTCTATTATTCTATAAGGCTATCAACAGGAATAACCCTGATGGCTATGGTCTACCTCCACTGTTGGGAGCCAGTATGCTTCTGAATACCACAGGAGCTTAGAGTGCTGTTGCATTCAGGTCCTGCTTTGTGGGCTTCTCATTGGCATCCGGTTGCCAATTGTGAGAACAGAATGCCAGACAAAAAGATCCACTGCCCAGATCCATCTGGGCTATTATGTTCTTAAAGTCCAGAATAAAATGGGGAAAAGTTAAATCCACCCTGTTAAAGAATGTGGTTTGAGCAGACACATTCTTTTTTTTTCTTCCACACAAATGTAATATTTTCTTCTGATTACAAATAATACCATCATATTAGACAGGGAAGCAAATCATCACAAGGAACATTGCAGCGGGGGAAATGTCACCAAGTTTACCGCCTCTGTAAATGAGAAAGCAAAATGAATGATAACTTAGCATAGGGAAGTCTCCCAGTTGCCCCATTCTTATCTCCGGCATTACAAGTTTGATTATGCAGGGTCTCTCTTCAAAAGTTGAAGTCACAGAATCATCAGCTAAGTCATCATGGCTCCAGTAAAAAGTGCCTTGGTTGAGCGGTGATACAATAATCATAAAGCACTGTTTGCAGCTGCGGCAGAAATGCCGCGAAAGTGAGAGTGATGCTTATATGAAGCAGTAATAAAAACTGATCGATGCACCACATCAGCTTTCTACACAAACATCATATCCAAATGTGTCAGAGGTAAAGACAGAAACATGCATTTTGCTCGTATTTGAATGATTCCAGAAGTGTTTCTGCAGACTGAATTGTTCTATTGCACCCTTGAATTAGGAGACAATCCTAAAGGAGAGAGCATAATGCCAACGCCATTGGGGAAAGAATTGTCTTCTATGATCATGTGGAATAAAATGTCATTAAGGCCTGCTTTACTGGTATCAAAGAGAGTAAATAACCTTGCTTTGAAAACAAGCTTCATGTAGGATAGGGGCAGGGAACCTGTGCCCCTCCAGACATTGAACCACAGCCCCTATCATTCCTGAATATTGGCCATGCTGGTCTTGGCTCATGGGAGTTGTAGTCCACAGCATCTGGAGAGCCACAAGTCTGCCCCCTGACCAGGAGGCTGGAGCTTCTGTGCTTTTAGTAACTGTTCCTTTCCTCACTCCCAAGTTACTTCCCAAAGGGATTGCAAAACCACCTGCTTTGCAAAGGCAAGCTGTTTGAATGGCAGTGACATTTCCAGAGAAGCAGGACATCTGACAGCATGAGAGCTCAGTGGGAGGGTAAGGGAGAGCAGCCAATTTTCTCTTCAAAGTGACTTTATAAAACGTCATACACTTGACGTCCCATTCGTGAGTAACAAAATTCAGTTCCTATCCAGGGCCCTTTTCAACCTCTCTGAACTCTCAAGTAACCACAGCACAGGATTCCTGTCAGAATGAGCTACAACACAAAGCCTCTTTTCCGGACTAGTAACAGAAAGCTCCTTAACAGTAAAGATTTGAGGGGAGGTGGGTACATCATTGTCCTTTTTTTAACCTCGACTCCTGACTAAATAAGTAAGAACTTCGTGTAAACATTACAGGAGGTTTCAAAGGGTGATGTTAAAACATTGGAGTGAATGTGAGTCTAGTTAAGGCATTAAAAAGGTAAAGGGACCCCTGACCATTAGGTCCAGTCGTGACCGACTCTGGGGTTGCAGCGCTCATCTCGCTTTATTGGCCGAGGGAGCCGGCATACAGCTTCCGGGTCATGTGGCCAGCATGACTAAACCGCTTCTGGCAAACCAGAGCAGCGCACAGAAAAGCCGTTTACCTTCCCACCGGAGTGGTACCTATTTATCTACTTGCACTTTGACATGCTTTTGAACTGCAAGGTTGGCAGGAGCTGGGACTGAGCAATGGGAGCTCACCCCGTTGTGAGGATTTGATCGGCAAGTCCAAGGCTCTGTAGTTTAACCCACAGCAGCACCCACGTCTGAATTAAGGCATTGCTGGTAATCAAATCAATTAAGATATTGACGAGGATCTGAACAAATAAGGGAGGGAGAAGAGGCACCCACGTTCCCTAAAGATAATAACAAATGTTGAAGTATCAAGATCAGCAAGGAAATCTCAAACTAGGAGCTCTAAAGCCAATGCATTGGTGTCCTTGTAGTAAGCTATTGGAACATAGGAATCCATCTTATACCAATTCAGATTATTGGTCTATCTAGCTCAGTAATGTCTACACTGACTGGCAGCAGCTCTTTGGGTTTCAGACAAGGAGTCTTTCTTAACCCTAACTGGAGATGCAGGGATTGAACCTGGGACCTTCTGCATGCAAAGCAGATGTTTCACCACTGAGCTGTGGGCTTTCCTCAAGAATGATACTGTTCCTCCATGTCCCTGCACAAATGAAGCCACTATGTAGTGCATTAACTCCTCCTGTTGTAGTCTAGGTCTGGCCTTGCCTATGCATCCCCTTATCTGTATACATCAGACTATTTTCTTCCTTCCTTGCTTGCTTGCTTGCCAGCCTCCTTATCCACCTTGGACAGGTCTACACATGCAGTAGCACAAGGGGAGTACACTGGACTGTACCACTTCAGATTGCAAGTGCCAGGTGCTACCGTATTGGCCCGAATATAAGCCGCACTCACAAATAAGCCGCACCTTTAAAATTCAGAGGGGGGGAGACAATACCCGAATATAAGCCACTCCCTTAAAATTGGGTTACAGGCTGAAAATTGCTGCGGTTGGTAGAATTGTAACTCCGAGCCAATTTAAGCCTTTGATCTTGCAAGCCCGCAAAAGTTTCCGTATGTACAATCGCTAGAATCACAAATTGCTGTTCAATTGCTACAATTCCGCAGGCACTCAAGCTCGCAAATTGGCAATAAAACATGTTTTTCCTTCCGTTTTACCGTATGTCTGTTTCAGCAGAAATACCGTAAAAGCCAGTTTTTGTAAGGTGAATAATATAAGCCACACTTCAACTTTTCATAGTCAGAATTTGGAAAAAATGTGCGGCTTATATTTGGGCCAACACGGTATTTTTTAAATGCTCCTTCATATTTTAAAACATCCACACAAGTAAAACACAAACATCAGGAAGAAAGACTCTGTGCTAGTCCACATCTCCAAGTATTCCTATTTTCCAGGGACATCCCTGATTTAGAGAAGCCGTCCCAGTTTCTGATTTGATGCCAGAATGTCCCACTTTTACTTAGGATTTCCCTATTTTCATTGGAGAAATGTTGGAGGGTATGTAGTCATCTGACCCTTGAGCCATCTGAAGGCAGTCCTCTATAGGGAAGTTTTTTTTAAAAATGTTCAATGTTTTATTATGTTTTTATACATGTTGGAAGCTGCCCAGAGTGTCTGGGGCAACCCGGTCAGATGTGTTTGGTATAAATAGTAAAATTATCATTACGGAATGGGATGCCCCTATTTCCATCAGAGAAATATTGGAGGGTATGCACCTTACTGTGTGACTCTTCCACTTCCAGGGAGTTTTCTTTTTTTATGCAGGGAGTATTCATAAAATGAAAGCACCCACTTGCAGCCTGAAGTTCTCCAGTCCCATTCGGCTGCATGTGTTAGACCAAGCCTTTGTTTCAGCTCCCTTAAGTACTTTGCCTCAGGTCCTCCACATACAAACTGATTTCTTGCAAAACCTCATACCTCTTGGCTGACTCACCGTCTGAGACAGTCCCAGGTTGAACTTAATTGATCAGCAGCATCTAAGTTTCGTGTTACCCTCACCAAAGCCCATCGGCTCAATGCATGCAGCTTTGAGTCCAATTGTAACTTGCCCTGGGACCAGCAATATTTCAGGAAGAGCAGGCAAGAAAGCAAAATAGTAAATAATAATAAAGAAATATAAATAAACAGCTTTCAAGCATGACATTTTTTTTTCTGTGCAGAGACTCAAATATAGGGAATGCTTCACATGTGACACTTTCTGTATATAGGGGGGGAAACTGGGGGGGGGGGCAGTATGTTAAAATGAAGAAAGTGTGTATTTTGCCACAATCACAAATGCTGAAAAGTGGATGTGTACCCACACTCAGGCCCTGCTCCCCTGAAAGCATCTCATTGGCCACATGAGTCCATGCAGCAAACCCGGAAGTATTTTACCAGGTTTCGCCCTGCGCGCATGTGCAGAAGAAGAAGAGTTTGGATTTGATATCCCGCTTTATCACTACCCAAAGGAGTCTCAAAGCAGCTAACAGTCTCCTTTCCCTTCCTCCCCCACAACAAACACTCTGTGAGGTGAGTGGGGCTGAGAGACTTCAAAGAAGTGTGACTAGCCCAAGGTTACCCAGCAGCTGCATGTGGAGGAGCAGAGATGCGAACCCGGTTCACCAGATTACGAGTCTACCGCTCTTAAGCACTACACCACACAGTCCTCAGGTAGTAGAAACCTCAGGATCCAACCAGACCTCCGGAACAGATTCTGTCCACAACCAGAGGTACCACTGTGTGTCGAAAACACACACAAGGATGTTGATACTTAGCCCTTTCATACCTAGCATTGTGTTTAACAGTCCAAAAGGACACAATTTTAGAAACGATGAATCACGGAATTGTAGAGTTGAAAAGGGTTCCAGAAGTCATTTAGTCCAACCCCCTGCAATTGCAGAAGTCACAGCTCAAGAATTCCTGACAGACAGCTATCCAATATCTGCTTAAAAACCTCCAGTGAAGTCTTCCAAGGTTAATAAGACAGCAAATACCAGAGTCTGACAAGGGGTAAATTAAACTTATATGGAAGAGTTTATTTATAAGAATGCGGTTCTGGCTGTTAAGAAATAAGCGACATTCTTATCATGCTAGAGCCCATTCTTACATATGCTGAAGTTGTTTTTAAAATTGGTATCAAAACATAAACGGATCAAGGGTTGAATTCTCACCCCTTCCTTGATATGTTGCCATAAGCTGGCAAGTTGTGTTCATTCATACCTGTCCAGAGATCACAATGTCATTATCAAAACTCAGAGTTCCATTAGCCTCAGCTATGGCTGGATTTGCGTAGCACATTGCTCCATTAACAGGTTTGAACGATTCGGTAGGAGGAGGAGGGAGACTTCGGGGAGGTTTCAGTTCTTCAGGTTCAAAGTGGCTGTGACTGCTCTAAAAAGAACCAAATAAAACAGGAAAGGTTCAAATGGAGTTCAGAAGCAGAAAAGTTGCTCAAATGCATTATGGCACAACAGGGCAGAAATTTGTCAGCATCTGTGACTGAGATATAAATTTGCAGAGGAGACCGATTTGTCTGCTCTGGCCCTTAGTCTAAACCCAAACTGAGCTTTTTGAACTTCTTATTCTGCCCAATTAAATAGGCATGCTGATCTTTAACACTGAAAAGTGTTTATTTTGTGTCCTGCTACCCACCTGGCTATAAGCCTTCAGTATCATTTTAAGAACTCTTTCCACAAAAAAGAGGATGTAGAATCCGCCAAACACAGCTACCGCTTTTTCAACGTAGTTATCGATTTTGGGGTCGAATCCAAATGCCTAGGAAGAAGATTGAACAGCGAGACCGGGTTAACCCAAAATGCAATGTGCTTCATTTGGAATATATATATATACACACATATTGTAAGAGAATACTCACTACTCACCCTTTAACCAGAAGCAGTGGGCCACTGTTGGCAACCAGCAAGAAGTCAACACCATGGGAGGGCAGCATGGTGCAAACACATCAGGAAGAGCAGCAGATTGGCTCAATCTGTCCATTGCACCGCACCAAACTTCCTGCTGCCTCCCTTCTTCCCCTGTCCTTCTTGGTAAGCAACAGTGCCCCCTCTGCCAGGAAGCTAGCACTGCAGCTCCACCACACCTAGCAAGACTTGTCAACCTGTTCAACTGAGTTCAGTGCCTAAATTTGCCCTGCACTGTCCCCCATCTGAGCACAACCATATGTAAATGGTTAGAAGACTGATTTACTTACAACTAGTGTGCCAATTTATGGACTTAGGGTCTTTGGCTTGTTCATCCTTCAATGACCTGTTAGATGGGAGAGTAGCAGGTTTCTTAGATGGGAGAATAGCCGGTCAAGGCTGTCTCATTCTCCTGAATGAGGTTCATGGCAGGAGAAAGAATGTACAGCAGCTCAATGAATACCCATCTGTTCAAGTATATTTCAGACCTGGTGAGGGGAACACATGCGACAGTATCATGTTCCCAGTTCTACTGCCATCTTCACCCGTTTCATCCTTACCTCTGGAATAAGCTGGAAAATTGCATTGGAAAAGAGGGTTCCAATGGCCAAACCTACAAAGTAGGTTAAAATCTTGGGGAAATAGTCTTTCTTTAAAAGAGGAGTTAAGGCCAATCCAAGGAGTGCAGCAAAGTTGATAATAGTCACAGCAAGGAAACCGAAGCCCCAGACTGTACAAGAGAGAGAAAGAGAGAAAATGCAGTCAAAATATTAGCCATATTAAAAATCATTTGATATCAGATGGATCTGGCAGGGGACAGTTTACTTATTTCATTGCAGAACAGCTGAATTAAGGGCATAATGTTTGGTTAATATTTAAGTCAGGAACCAGGATAAGAGAGGAATGTTTCTGCCAATTATTTTAAAATGTGCTGGTTGTAAAAGAAATAGCCCCTTAGTATAGCTCTCTCACTGCATAATAAACAGAATTGTTACGGCAGTTCCACTGAAAATAACGTATTATAAACCAGGGGTAGGGCCACATTTCCTTCTGTGCAACTTTCTGAGGGCCACCTTCCAGTGATGCATGGAGCCAGAGGCAAAGGTGGGCAGAGCAATGAATATATATTTCACCTCTGCTTAGCAGGCTAGTTGCTACACCTACACCTCTCTATCCTTTATCCAGACAAGCAAGAGGCATCATCAGAATTCTAGGGCACATTTCAGCCAGGCAACAACATTTGAGGAGGGGGTGAAGAAGGCCAGTGAGAGGTGTGGCCTGGGGAAGAAGGTGTGGCCTGTGGAGTCTTCCAATGATCATCAGCTAGCAAGACCTGGAGAGTTGCATTCACAGACCTCCAAGTGTCCCTATTTTCGGGGGACGTCTCTGATTTAGAGGAGCTGTCCCAGTTTCTGATTTGATCCTGGAATGTCCCACTTTTCCTTAGGATGTCCCTATTTTCATTGGAGAAATGTTGGAGAGTATGGAGTTATCCATGGCACATGGGTGGCGCTGTGGGTTAAACCAGAGAGCCTAGGACTTGCCGATCAGAAGGTCGGCGGTTCGAATCCCCGCGACGGGGTGAGCTCCCGTTGCTCAGTCCCTGCTCCTGCCAACCTAGCAGTTCCAAAGCACGTCAAAGTGCAAGTAGATAAATAGGTACCGCTCTGGCGGGAAGGTAAACAGCGTTTCCGTGCGCTGCTGTGGTTCGCCAGAAGCAGCTTAATCATGCTGGCCACATGACCCAGAAGTTGTACGCCAGCTCCCTCGGCCAATAAAGCGAGATGAGCGCCGCAACCCCAGAGTCGGTCATGACTGGACCTAATGGTCAGGGGTCCCTTTACCCTTTACCTATGGAGTTATCCAACCCCCAAGCCATCTGAAGGCAGTCCTGTATAGGGAAGGGTTTTTTAATGTTTAATGTCTTATTATGTTTTCATTGTATATTGGAAGCTGCCCAGAGTGGCTGGGGCAACCCAGTCACTGGGGGTATACCCAGTGTGGGGTATAAATAGTAAAATTATCATTATGGAATGGGACATCCTTATTTTCAGTGGAGAAAGGTTGGAGGGTATGCATTCAGCCCCAGGCCTGAGGTTCCTCACCCCTGTTGTAAACCACAAGGAAAATATCATTATAGTTGTTGTCCAGCAAACAAGTTACAAACTACCAAAGGGATGTTATTGAAGTTGTGTCATTTGCACATTTGTTGTACATCACCCTGAGCTCCCTTGAAGGAAGAACGATTTAGAAATATTCAAAATAAATAAAATATGCATTTGTGACCGAGTATGTGTTCACCCTGAAGCCATAGCACATCAGGTTGCACCCTGAATTAAAATATAAAACACCATATTTCCATTGCAATCTTGAATTATCACACACTTCCCAACAGTTAACTTTTCTAGAGGCAATCAGAGGCAATATAACTTGAGCAAAACTGGGTGCAAACCAGCAATGGGCAGCAGGGTGGCGCTCTAGTCAGGGTAGATTCCCTCCCCAACCCTTTTGAGGAGGTAGAGCATATGTTCTGCATGCAGAAAATCCCAAATTCAATCCCTGTCATCTCTCATTAAAAGGGATCTGGTTGTGGGTGATGAGAAAGATGTGGAGATGCCCTGGAGCTGCTGCCCACAGAGTAGGCAATATTGAGCTAAATGGACAGTCTGACCAGGAATAAGGCAGCTTCCACCCAACAGCAAAAGCCAGTGCAGACTGCCAGCCATATGCCCCGTTAACATGTAGCAATATTGCTCCACAGATTTCTGTAAAATGAATAAATAACAGGGCTAAATTAATCTCACGGTTATACCAGTCACCAGTGACAGGTACCTTCTGTAGGAGATGGCTTGGAATTGCCTTTGGACACGGATTTTTCACAAGGGTGAAAAATCAGCTGCTGTACAACAGCGGGACATATTGTGGAGAAGCTGGACTCGGTGATCTTGCTGCTGTTTGACATTCCGTGCAGAGAAAAGATGTCTTCAGCAGACATGCACTGAAACAAAATGAGAAACTTGGGTTAGCTTGAGAAAGGGAATAGCAGAGATGTTGGGAAAGGAGAGCGATCTGGCTCTGGTGCTTCACAGTTTTAAGGCAAAACTAGGGTGTCGTTGACTGAATAAAGTGAGATTGTCATCTGGGGCTGAGCTGATCTATGTGGATAGTCCTCCTTCACTTGGGGCAAAAAAAATTAAATAATCGTAGGGGGATTAAACTGACCTGCAGAGATGCCACCCCTAGAACAACCTTACCTCTGAAAGTTAACCTTAAGAACCTTAAGCCTGAGAAATGCTTTGGTCATCATTTTGATTTCAGTGCATCTCTGGTTTGAAAGACACACTTCACCTGATGAAGACCAACACTTTTCCATTTTTAGACATGATTTTATATATACACACACACACACACACACACACATACACACACATATATTTTTATTAATTTTTTAACATATCAGTTCCAACAGTCATACAACATATCTTCACATCTTTACAATATTTTTTACTTCCGTCAACACCTCTGATGATTTTCCGTTCTTTATCACTTATTCTGCATTTCCTAATTTCCTATTACATTTAATTATCCTTAACTAATAATTCTTTTCGTAGTCTTTCTTGCAACATTTCAAATAATCCACCTTACTCTTGCAGTCCTACTAGTGTAATCTGTTCATCACAATTACTTTTCAAATAGTTCATATATTTACTCCAGTCTTCTAAGAATCTCTGATCCCGCAGGTTTTGAATCCTTCCTGTTAATTTATCTAATTCTGCATTTTTAGACATGATCTCATTTCCCCATCCCTGCACAACAGACTTTGGAAAATCCACACCTAGATATGTTGCTGTTATTTACCAGAAATGAGGGCAAAAAGCTGCCGTTGGAATCTGAGCTCTTTATGTCAATAAGCCCTTCAAACATTTCTTATCCTGGTGTCACAGTTTCACTGAAACAATTATGAAGCAATGCATCGATGCTATTTACAGGAAGTAAAACAGAATTGTTAATGCTCTTGACAGCTTTTGTTCTGAAGTTTTGCATGAACAGACCAAGACTCTCCCTGTAAAACCAGAATCTTAACAAATTAATTACAATGAAATCCCTAAGCATATTAAGTATATTTTCAAAGCTTCCAAGCTGCAATTATTTAATCTTCAAAACAGGTTTAATGACTTGGAAAAGTCTAAGGAGGTCATTTCAAGTGCTTCAGTTTCCATGGTTCTAATGTTAAAGGGAACATGAAAGTGCAGTTTCTTAAATTCCAGCAGTGCAATCATATACATGTCTACTCTGTTAGTAAGTCCCACTGAGCTCAGCGGGGCTTGCTCCCATATAAGTATGCATAAGGTTGCAGCCTAATGGAAGATAGTCCTATCAGCAATTTTTAGGGATGTCAAACATCATTCACTCATGCACAAGAAGGCGGTATCAGTAGACTCAGGATAATTCCAGGGTTTGCAAATGGTTAAAAAAGGGGGGAGGGCCTCAGCCTAGTATACCTGAAGGAGTGTCTCCACCCCCATCGTTCAGCCAGGACACTGAGGTCCAGCTCCATGGGCCTTCTGGAGGTTCCCTCCCTGCGAGAAGTGAGGTTACAGGGCCTTCTCGATAGTGGCGCCCGCCCTGTGGAACGCCCTCCAATCAGATGTCAAGGAAATAAACAACTATCTGACTTTTAGAAGACATCTGAAGACAGCCCTGTTTAGGGAAGTTTTTAATGTTTGATGTTTTATTGCTTTACTACTACTACTACTACTACTACTACTACTATTATTAATATTTTGTTGGGAGCCACCCAGAGTGGCTGGGGAAACCCAGCCAGATGGGCAGGGTATAAATAAAATATATTATTATTATTATTATTATTAGGGAAAGTTGTAGGGGCTCTGCAAAAATAACCCTGTAAGAGTGCAGTGGCACAGAGTGCTGACAATTAATAGATTGTGGAAGGAGGGGTGGAGTTGCCTGAAAAGGAAGAAGGGAAGAGATGCAGAAATATAAAATGGCGTTGACTTGCCACTCATCTCAAAACTCCTTCCTTCTCTCGCTCTCCTCATTTTCACTGTTCACACTCTCCTCCTCATTCTCTGTCATTTCCCCCTTTCCTTTTTTCCTTTCTGTTGGAAAAAAGTTCCCAAACCGTGGTATTTATGGACTGGGGTGCATCATGGGGTGTGCCTGCTTGTGTAGATAAGAGGGGGGGAAATGGAATACAGTGGTACCTCGGGTTACAGATACTTCGGGTTACAGACGCTTCAGGTTACAGACTCCGCTAACCCAGAAATAATACCTCAGGTTAAGAACTTTGCTTCAGGATAAGAACAGAAATCGTGCAGTGGTGGCGCAGCGGCAGCAGGAGGCCCCATTAGCTAAAGTGGTGCTTCAGGTTAAGAACAGCTTCAGGTTAAGAACGGACCTCCAGAACGAATTAAGTTCTTAACCCAAGGTACCACTGTATTGCAGGATAGTGGCATCAAAACTCTGGAATGGCCTCTCTGAGAAAACCCATTTCGCACCCTCTTTTCTATTTTCAGATGTTTCATTTCAGAAAGCTTTTAACGTATAATGGTCCACTGATTTAAAACAATAAGCTGCCTTCATTGCTGCTATTAAGTGTCCTGTTCTATTGTCTTAGCTTTTTATGGCTTTGACCTATAAAGCCAATATGTCAAGGGCTGCCTCTCCTCACAAGAACCAACGCAGTCCCTGTGTGCCCCCTCTAAGAGTGGGCCTTTTCAGTAGGGGCTCCCCATTTATGGAAAGCTCTCCCTGGGGAGGCATACCTGACACCATTGCTATCTGTTTTTAGGTTCCAGCAAAAACATTCTTATTCACACAGACCTCTGGAATTTAATTCTGAACACATTATTTAGTAGGGTGGGGTTGAGCCGGTTTCTCTCTTTTTCGCATATTACTGTATTTTAGATTGTTTTTCATTCTTGCTTTTATATCTGCTTTTAATCTTTGGGTGTTGTGTTTTTTAAAGTTGCTCTGAGCTCATTTTTTGAAATAAGCAATATATTTAAAACAATAAGTAAAACAAGAAACTAAAAAGCAACTGAACAATACCGATTCTCTGGTTTCAAATTATTTATTACATGGTTTTAAATTATGTCGCCATAAGCTACCCCGAGCATTGTGCAGAAAGGTGGGGAAGAATATTAAAGAATGAGATAGAAATAAAGAAAATGATTGTAGTGATATATGGTTTTTCCTCTATTAACTACTTTTGGTATGTTTATACAGAAAAGTGGGATAAAAATGAATAGCAATAATAATGTCACCTTGGAGAAAGGGTGGGATGCAAATAAGATTTTTTAATAAAATATGATTAAAAATAACTTTAATTGCATCTATGAAGTATTCCTTTGTTTAGCAAAACTGGGATATTTATATACTTTATGTAGGTTGGCATGAAAATCTCTCTCTCTCTCTCTCTCTCACACACACACACTATATATATATATATCTAGATAGATAGATAGATAGATAGATAGATAGATAGATAGATAGATATGAGAGAGAGAACTATTATCATGTCCCTGGACTGTGTCAAAGTCTTTGTTCAATGTTTCAGCCCAATTAAAAGTTAAAGGTAAAGGGACCCCTGACCATTAGGTCCAGTCGTGGCCAACTCTGGGATTGCAGCGCTCATCTCGCTTTATTGGCCGAGGGAGCTGGCGTACAGCTTCCGGGTCATGTGGCCAGCATGACTAAGCTGCTTCTGGCAAACCAGAGCAGCACACGGAAATGCCATTTACCTTCCCGCCGGAGCGGTACCTATTTATCTACTTGCACTTTGATGTGCTTTCAAACTGCTAGGTGGGCAGGAGCTGGGACCGAGCAATAGGAGCTCACCCCATCGCGGGTATTCAAACCGCTGACCTTCTGATCGGCAAGCCCTAGGCTCTGTGGTTTAGACCACAGTGCCACCCACGTCCCTCTTCAGCCCAATTACACTGCCCTATTACCAATGAGCCAATATCAGATTTGCATACTTTCATTGAGCGTTTATGACATGCTTAAGTGCATTATCTGCTTAACAGCATCACAGCGATAAAATTGAGATTTCCACATGTTCCACTGTCAGCTTTATCTCCCCTTTCAATCTTTCATTTCCCCCCTTTTTGTATTTTCTTTTTATTGTGATGATTATTATTATTTATTTCCATTTTATTGCGATGAGTAGTGTTATCCTGATAAAAATTCTTTTGAAGGATGGCACAGAAGTCAATAAAAAAGTCAGTAAAAAAAAGCTATCATAAGAGCTGAGGATTCTTTCCCCAGGAGATAGGGTGGCCCATGTCTGCTCCTTAGCAGAAGGCAGCCCTCTATTCAGGTGAAGGAGTCCTCCGTTTGAAAGGCTGTCTGTCCCAAATCTAGTTTAATGCTAGAGAACCAAAAGCAAGGTAAGGCGGCTGGTGGCATTCCATGCATAATTTTATTTACTCCTGTCATGTCACCACACTGAGGTCCAGCGCCGAGGGCCTTCTGGAGGTTCCCTCACTGTGTGAAGCCAAGTCACAGGGAACCAGGCAGAGGGCCTTCTCGGCAGTGGCGCCCGCCCTGTGGAACGCCCTCCCACCAGATGTCAAAGAAATAAACAACTATCTGACGATTAGAAGACATCTGAAGGCAGCCCTGTTTAGGGAAGTTTTTAATGACTGATGTTTTAATGTAATTTATATCTTTTGTTGGAAGCCGCCCAGAGTGATGGGCAGGGTATAAATAAATAAATAATTATTATTATTATTATTATTATTATTATTATTATATCTTACTCACATCCCCTCTAAACTAAAAAATCCCAAATGTTGCCACCTTTCCTCACAGGGAAGTCCTCCCACCCCCTTGAACTTTTCTGTTTCTCTTTTCTGTACCTTTTCCAAGCTTGGTCAACACATGCAAGGGAGTAAGATGGTAGAATGACTGGACAACTTGAGGCTGCAAGTAGTGGATTCTACACATTACAAATCATTTCCTACAAATAGGAAACCAGCACAATAAGGAGACAACCAATCTACAGTGTCTCTCTCTCTCTCTCTCTCTCTGACGGTTTCACTTGCAAGGTGTTTGCTGTATGGACAAGCACTGAGAACTGACAACTCCCGACTTGCAACCTGCCATTCTAGCACACCCTTCTGCTTCACCAAGCCTATGAAAGTCATTAGTTCACAAAAGGTTGATTGTCCTGCCTGCTCCCAGACATTTGCCTCCTGAAGATCTGGCCTTTTTTCACCTGTTGGCAATTCCTGCTCAACCAGTGACCAGATGGGTGGATGTTTATATGAAGGAACTGGTAACTGGTTCTCAAAGGAATTTTTGCTTACGGATTGCAACACAGCAACATTTCCCAATATGTCTGCTCAGACGTCATCCACCCTTCCCACCTTCTTTCTTTGCTATGCCTGTGTGTGTGTGTGTGTGTGTGTGTGTGTAACAAGTCTTGTATTTGAAGTGCTATGATCAGCCAGCATCCCATAGGGTGCCACAACTTACCATGTCAAGTGTTTTTACATGTGCTGTATAGTCTGATAGAAAAGAAATGGTTTACAATTTAGATTAACAGACTTCCCTGTGAAGAGGACTGTTAATTCCTTTGGGAATTGTAGCTCTGTGAGGGGAATGGGGTTCTCCTCATCAAACTACAGCTCCCAGAATTCTTTGGGTGGTATCGTGCTGCTTTAAATGTGTGCAGAGACTGGCTTTAGTCTGAACCATTTTTCTCTTCCTTCCCTTGCCACCACATCCACAACCAGTTGTAGAATAGCTGTCGCTTCATACTTCAGAATTATAAATCCCCACTTAGATGGTTAGGAAATAATAGCAACATTTATTTGAATATAGAATCATAGAGTTGGAAGAGACCACAAGGGCCATCGAGTCCAACCCCCTGCCAGCAGGAAACACCATCAGTGGTATAATATAATACAGTGGTACCTCGGGTTAAGTACTTAATTCATTCTGGAGGTCTGTTCTTAACCTGAAACTGTTCTTAATCTGAAGCACCACTTTAGCTAATGGGGACTCCTGCTGCCGCCACGCTGCCAGAGCACAATTTCTGTTCTCATCCAACCCAAGGTACTATTTCTGGGTTAGCAGAGTCTGTAACCTGAAGCGTATGTAACCTGAAGCGTATGTAACCCGAGGTACCACTGTATTTGGATGGGATATTCTCCTTGTCAGGCTGCAAATGTTTCCCATACAGTGGTACATCGGGTTAAGAACTTAATTCATCCCGGAGGTCTGTTCTTAACCTGAAACTGTTCTTAACCTGAGGTACCACTTCAGCTAATGGGGCCTCCCACTGCCAGTGCACTGCCACCGCGCGATTTCTGTTCTCATCCTGAAGCAAAGTTCTTAACCTGAGGTACTATTTCTGGGTTAGCAGAGTCTGTAACCTGAAGCGTCTGTAACCTGAGGTACCACTGTATTAACATAGCCATGAACTTGAATTCAGCAGGCTGGTAAAAAGCCTTAAGGCTTACAGCCTTAAGGCTGTGAGAGTTGTACACATATTCTACCTTGTCAAATGTTTTGAGCAATGGAGTAGGAGAATGCCCAGTCAGCCAAGTATCCATAGTGATATTATTCTTATATATTTATTTATACTCTGTCTTTCTGGCTGATGGGACTCAACTCAAGGCAGCTTACAGATAAAAACACAGAAAAATCAATCATTAAAATGTACAAGTAGACATGGATAGATTTAAAATTGTATGTATACTGCATCTAAAATCTGTTTTAAAGCAAAAGTAATAATTACAATAAAAACAGCATGGAACTAGCTCATTCCTTAAAAGCAGCAAATTCCCTGTTGGAACAATTCCCTGTTGGAACAAGAAAGTCTTCACTCTGCATAAGCCCCTTTCACTTGTCTTTCTTTCTTTCTTTCTTTCTTTCTTTCTTTCTTTCTTTCTGTAATTAGGTTTGAATTAGCAATTGTAGCACTCAAAATGCAATAAGAATTATCCCAAACTAAACAAGATCTTCAGACTAGGTATGCATTTGGAGGTCCAGTCCATGCTATGCCCTAAGCCATGGGTAGGCAAACTAGGGGCCGGATCCGGCTCAATTACCTTCTAAATCCGGCCCACAGACGGTCCAGGAATCAGTGTGATTTCACATGAGTAGAATGTGTCCTTTTATTTAAAATGCATCTCTGGGTTATTTGTGGGGCATAGGAATTCATTTTTTTTCCCTCTCCAAAATATAGTCCAGCCCCCCACAAGGTCTGAGGGGCAGTGGACCGGCCCCCTGCTGGAAACGTTTGCTGACCCCTGCCCTAAGCACTGGCAACAACCCTTGCTTCGGAAGCATCTGTTGTAGCAACAGTTAAAACCCTTACCGTCTTACACCAAGTTGGACCACTGAGCACAGTATTGTCTACACCAGGGGTGTCAAACTCAAATTCATTGTGGGCCGTGGCCCCGCTAGAGGGCAGATGTTCTCTGGCTTGTAGGCTGCTGCGCATGCGCTGAAGAGGCGGCTTTCTTGTGTCAAAAAAAAAAAAACGAGAATAAAAGGTGAAGGCTGGCGGCCGGCGGCGGCTACACAGGCCACATGACAAGGTCTGGCGGGCCGGATTCGGCCCGCGGGCCTTGTGTTTGACACCCGTGGTCTACACCATAGGTAGGCATAGGTTGGGCTGGATCCGGCCCAATTGCCTTCTAAATCCGGCCCGCAGACAGTCCAGGAATCAGCGTGTTTTTACATGAGTAGAATGTGTGTTTTTATTTAAAATGTATCTCTGGGTCATTTGTGGAGCCTGCCTGGTGTTTTTACATGAGTAGAATGTGTGCTTTTATTTAAAATGCATCTTTGGGTTATATGTGGGGCATAGGAATTCATTCATTATTTTTTTTCCAAAATATAGTCAGGTCCCCCACAAGGTCTGAGAGGCAGTGGACAAGCCCCCTGCTGAAAAAGTTTGCTGACCCCTGGTCTACACTGACTGGCAATGGCTCTCCCATTCACAGCCAGACCTGATGATGTCAGGGGCTGAACATGGGCCTTTCTGCATGCAAGACATGTTCTCCACCACTGAGCTACAGTGCCTCCTGTCACTCCACATCCCAACCAACAAGTTTAACATTACCCACTAAATGTCAGCCCCAACAAGGGACTGTACCGTAACATTCTGTTCCAAGCACGGCACCCAAATGAGATGCACAGAAACTGGCAGTCTTTGTTATTCAAATAAAACTGTGCCCACAAAGAAATGGAACACAGGTCTGAAAGCAAACATCTTTAAGAGTTGAATAAATGCATATTGGGCAGGTCTGCAAGTCACAGTAAGCAAAACTATGGCTTTGCAAAAGCAGGTGGGCTCCCGAGAAGGAGATCATACCCAGTTTGTTCCTCCAAAGCCCTTTTAACTCAGTGCAGCAACTAAGCCAAGGTTTGGCTTGTCCCAACCTGGAATTGTGGTGAAGCTCTCCCCTCATTAATCACAAGCTGCAGCCAAGAACAAACCTTGGCTTTGCTGCTGTGCTGCCCTGAGATAAAGGACCTGGGGAGGAGCAGCTCCAATCTCCTCCTTGAGAGCCCACATGTTTGCATGTGGATGATAAAACCATGGTTTTGCTTAGTACAGGTGTGGGGAACCTTTGACCCTCCAAATATGGTGGAACTACAACTCCCAGCAGCCCTGGCAAGCATGGCCAGAGACAATGAGAGTTGTAGTTTTAGTAACATTTGCAAAGCCAAAGTTTCCCCACCGCATTGTGCAGTACATGTTTGTTTTTAGGATATGTTCCTTCAATTCTCAATTTCACTTTGCAAAGCCATCCAAGTTGGCTGGCCATCACTGCCTCTTCTGGGAGTGAATTCTGTAGTTCGGCTACACGATGTGTGAATAAGTACTTTCTTTCCAGCATTCAGCTTCACTGGATGTCGCTGAGTTCCAGGGTTATGAGAGACGGAGAAAATCATTTCTCTGTCCACTTTGTCCATGCCTAATGGTACACACGTCGACCATTTTGCCACTTACTTGCCTTTTCTCTAAACTAAAAAAGTCCCCAATGCTGTCATCTTTCCTCATAGTGGAGTTTCTCCATCCCAGCGATAATTCTGGTTGCACTTTTCTGATTTTTTTTCCCAACTCCACAATATCTTTTTTTTGAGATGAGGTAACCAGAACGTAGGGGGTGGCGCTGTGGGTTAACCACAGAGCCTAGGACTTGCTGATCAGAAGGTCGGTGGTTCGAATCCCCACGACGGGGTGAGCTCCCGTTGTTCGGTCCCTGCTCCTGCCAACCTAGCAGTTCGAAAGCACGTCAAAGTGCAAGTAGATAAATAGGTACCACTCCGGCAGGAAGATAAATGGTGTGTGCGTGCACTGCTCTGGTTCGCCAGAAGAGGCTTCGTCATGCTGGTCACGTGACCCGGAAGCTGTACGCCGGCTCCCTCGGCCAATAAAGCGAGATGAGCGCCGCAACCCCAGAGTCGGTCACGACTGGACCTAATGGTCAGGGGCCCCTTTACCCTTTAACCAGAACGTATTGCAAAAGCGCACGGCTCACGTAACTGTATAACAGCATCATTATATCAGCAGTTTTATCTCCAATTCTTTCCCCAATTATCCCTATCATGGAATTCGCCTTTCTCACACCTGCCACACACTGGGTCCACATCTTTATTGAGCTACCTACTGGCATAGCTTCCCACTATGTTTCCCAGGAACTAGTATTCACAGATAGACTGCCCATGATCCTGGAGGAACTACATCATTGTCAAGGGTCCTAGCCTTATCCTGAATAAATTTGCCTAATTTCCTTGAAAACTGTTGGAGTTGGACTATAGCACCTTGTCGTACCTTAAAGACATACAAATCTCTTATGGCTTTTGTAGACTAGAGTCAGACGGCTTGGGTATAAATAATAAAATTATTACTATTCTTTCTTCAGATGCATGAATGTGTGGTAATTTGAGAAGTAAATGGTTGTACCTGGGTGAGAGAGCAGAGAGAGCAGAGCGAACCCAAATGAAAACATTATTGGCCATGGCAATTATGCTGTGTGCATCAGAAGCTGCCTTTCACCTACTCAGACTATTAGGCCATTAACTCAATACCATCCACACTGACTAAGGGTTTCAGGCAGAGATTTTCCCAGCCCTACCTGGCGATGCAGTGAACTGAACTTGGGACTTTCTGCATAGAAACATAAAGTTGGAAGAGACCCCAAGGATCATGTAGTCCAGCCCCCAGCTCTCCCATATGAGGCTCCAACCTGCAACCTTGACACTATCAGCACCACGCTCAAACCATCGAATTTTCGAAAACGCACACAATCAATGAGTTAAAAGGCGATGATCAGAATTATGTGAAAACAACCGCAAGTTGCAGCCCTCCCCCGTCCCCCGCCTCCAGGCGAGGAGGCTTCAAGTCTCTGCAGAAAGATCCGACCCGGTCCTCCTGTCTCCGCCTCAGTTTCCCCTCTGTAACAACTTGTGGGGAGAATCCAGGAGACGGGGCGGCGAAGGACTTTGCCGAGGCAGCCTGACCGGGACTGGACTGTACCTGGTTGTAGCGCAGGACGTGCAGGTCCAGCTGTCCGGCCAGCGACTCCTCCAGCCGGTGCGCGGCTCCCATCTTCTGCAGCATTTGCTCCAGCTGCCCGGCCGAGAGGCTCCGGTTGCCCCCGAACAGCGCCAGGACATCCCGGGCGAAGGGCGGCCCCGCCGGCGAGGCTGCTGGCGTCGATCCTTGCGCCCTGGCCGGAGCCAAGCCGGCCAGTGCCAAAGCGAGCGCGGCGGCCAGGAGCGTCCGAGACACGAGAGACATCGCCGACGACGACGCAGCAGCTGCTCTTGGCTCAGCTGCTCAGCAGAAGCGGCACGGAGGGAGCGCGAAGGGTTAAGGTTTCGCCGACGGCGCGCACGCGCCTTGCCTTCCCTTTGCCGGCGGGAGCCAACGAGGAGGTCCAGTCCGCAGTCTCAGCCTCCCTCGGGCGCACTGCGTCCTGCGCGGCTGCTGGTGGCGGGTCTTCCTTCGTCGCTCCCCTCCCCTCCTGGGCAAGGGCTGGGTTTGGGGCGCTCCCTCGGACCTTTCCTAATCCTGGAGAGCCCGCAGGATCGATGGAAGGGGGGCGGGAGGGCAGGAGCCAAGCCAAAAGAGACGGAGAGGGAAGTTTCTTCCCCAGCAGAAGCGGACGGGACAACGGGACGGCAGAGATGCATTCAGCTCCTCCTGCGTGATAGAGGACAGAACATAGGGGCAGGGAAGGTTGAGAAGGCAGCTGAAATCATACAGGAGTGGAGTTTCCCAGTTTTTGCTAGGAGTTTTTATATAGACACACACACACACAAGCACATGCGCGCGCACACGTGTACACACACACACACACACAGATCCATTAAGAAATTGCTTCTTTAATCCTTCAGCATTGCATTTTATTATATTAAAATTGAATTCCATGGATTTCAAATTGTAATAGAATGAAATACAGTAAAAGAGGCAAAAGCAACACATTTAAAAAAAAATCAATATGAATAGTTAGTGCAATAGTTGTACCATCTTACTATCTTCAACCACAACCACAACCCCACCCCACCCCTCTTCTCTCCTTCTGGCTAAACATGCCCCTCTCTCTCAACTGTACCTCACAGGGCTGGGTTTCTTCCAGACCTCCCTCACCATCATGATCTCCCACCTTTGAACCCACTCCCATTTGTCAGTCTTAGTCTTAAAATGGGGTCCAGATGTGGCCAGCCCAGTGAAGAATAAAGCAGCACTATTCTTTCCTGTGAGTGCTTTATTTTTTTGTCTGTCTTGAATTGTCACGCCAGCCAATTCTGTTTGCCCTTGTTCACAGAGAAGGTGCTCCAGTTCCTCGATCAGTTACTGTTTTGTGTTTTGTAAACCACTTTGAAGTGATATTTTTTTACAATCAAGCAGTGTATAAATCTAAATAAATAAAGCATGAGATAGGGCCTGTCATGGATGTGACCAGGGAACAAAGGGTCACATTTGAACCCTGAGTCTGAAGTTCCCCATTTCTGCTTTAAACCATCCCTTTATCTCTTCTCTTTCTCACGCAAGCAATTCTAAATTACTGTACTTTCAAGGGGGAGAATTCCAGTCCAGCCACTATCCTTGCTTGCTGAAGCACCAACTGGCTGCAGAAAAACTTTCCTTTTCAGAAATGTGAAACACACCGAAGAGTTAACAAGGGAGAGGGGGCACAGCATGCGCTTTGCAATTTCAGATGGTAAACAATAGTTTGCTAGGGCTTGGCTGTGGCTCAGAAATGTCAACATCTGAGCATGCAGATATGAGAGATTTGCCCAGGAAAACAGCAGGATCATTGCTGATCTCGCTGGGGCCGGGTTTATCAACTTTCTAAATAATGTCATTAGGGCATGGATGTGTGGATGTTTTGTTTTGCTTTATTCCAGGTGTGCTGATCCCTACAAATTTCACAGCGGCCGTATGCAGCTTATGTCCCAGTTGTCAACATGAGAGATGCCCCCAATCCGTTATTGTTGCACAGTACACACAGCCCCATCTTGGGGAAACAGGCTGTGTCAGCATTCAGAAACTCACCCATGTCGTTTCATGTGCCCACCTTTACAAGCATTGCTCTCTGTCGCTTTGTTTTAGTGCTAAAGCGAGACACGGTGAGTAAATACGCATAGGATTATGCTGCAGTCGTGATCTCAGACTATATCATAGAATCGGAAAGTTGGAAGAGACCACAAGGAACATCTGGTTGAAGCCCCCTGCAATGCAAGAATCTTTTGTCCAACATGGGGCTTGAACCCACAACCTTGAGATTAAGAGTCTCGTGTTCTACCAACTAAGTTTCTCCAGACCACCATGGATCACTCCCCTTTCCCTGGCAAGGTTTCTGCCTGCCTTGTTAGCAGCTACACAACAGGCAGAAATTCAGCTAGGACAGGACCATTGCCAGCAAAAGTGATGGTGCATCGTCTAGTATTTCTTTTTCCTTATCGAGCTGTTCTTCCTACCAATCAGTTGGGGAAATCCCGCGTGCTCCTATATCTCAGGTTACTCAATAGCTTCTCACCTGGAAGGGTCAAACAGAAGCTTGCCACATGCAAGGTATTTACCAAAGGGGAATCCTGAGAATAGCCTCACACATTTGCACATCCTATTGCTCCATTCCGGTAGCCACTACTCTTTCACAAACTATTTGCCCATGCTTGTCTTGTTTCACACCGCCTTTCACAATACGTTCTCCCACTATCTTGTTTTCATATGCTGGGGGTGGGTTGGGGGGGAAGCATGCCCTGCTTCTCTGCTTACCTCTTGCTGTCGCTGATTATTTCTGCGGTCCTTCAGAATAGCCAATGCTTCTTGCACAGATAAAGCTTTGAGGAGGGACACAGGTTGCAGTTCAGTCACTGTGCACTGCCAGATAGCCTCGGCCATGTGCAACTGCTCGGGTCAAAAGCCAACCACGGCTGGCCCCTCCCAGCGGTGGTTTTAGCCTTCCTTTCCTCCAAAAGACAGAGCCAAAACGAATTGGGTAGAGAAACAAATTCCTGCCACCAATTCAGCTGCTCCAGTTCCTCATACTGCAAAGTAAGCAGTACACGTGGATCTGCCTTTCAGCCTCTGTTGGGAAATAGCTAATATTCCTTCTGACTAAGCAGGGATATGGAAAGCATTTCAACACAACACCGGGGACATGCTGTCCTTTATTCCTTGCTTCCCTGAACCTGTCCCTCTATACATAGATAGGTTCCTGTTTTGAGCTGTTCCTGGAGAATGAAGGTGGGGATCAAGGGGTGGAATGGCAGAGCGAGAGGCTTGCCAAAGAACTGCACTACAGAAGTGCTCATTCTTTGAGAGACCAGCTGAGCTGCCAGCAGCTCTGGAAATGCCCTTCTCCCTTGTTTCAATGAGCTGCCCTTAGATCATTCTTGAACCAGTCGTTTAAAAGAGAGAATCTGCATGGAGGAAACTGCAGCCGCTGTAGTTTTTGTGAAAAGTATGTGGGTTTAACACACTGGCCAAGAATCAATGGTGCTCCTGCTTCTGGCCTTCCCAGATCCATCTGGCTGATCACTGGTTGGAACCCAGACCCAGCAGGCTCTCCTTATGTCCTTAATCTTTTTCCCCCACCTGCCACCCACTGCAAGCCCACTTACGGGTTCCAGACACAGAGCTTCCTTATATGTCTTTTTGTGCAATGTATAATTCCCCATGCAGCTGTTTCCAGGGCCTAGTGAGTTTGCTGCTGGAAGGCGGAGGGTCAGCCTGTGGGAAAAACTATGAAAACAGGAGATCGCTTGCACTGTAGGACTCATAGGAGTCAACTCCTAGGGGCTGAGGTCCCTTCAGTCCCCCTAATAAAATATTTGAGGGCACTGGGCTCCCACAAAGTTGATGAGCATTGCCATTCAAATGATGTTTGTGTCTTGTGGTCAATGTGGGGTCTTACCTAGCCTACCCGCAATATTTTATTCAATTTGGCACCCCTGGTAGGACTGATTTTTCTGGACATTACCTTCACAATTCTTGGAAATGATCTGATATGCTATCAGGGCAGAGCCTACCATTGCATGGTGATTTTCAGCCTCATCTCAATCAAGGAAGCAGCACTTTGTATGAATCCAGCTATTGCAGCTGCACATGGATTGAGCAAGGTTATGGGTTGAGTAGAGCTAGAGAAGTGGTGAAGCAACCTCAGAGACAAACTGGCATGTGCTAAACGCTATACACACCCATTCAGCACAAGGGGTGGATCTGTGACACGCTAGAGACCACACTTCTTGTAGTCCTTCCCACTGTCACTCCTGTTGGGGATCATTTCCAGGCGTGCCAAGTAACATGGCATAGGGTTGGCATGCACCAGGGATGAGGATCCTGTGGCCTTCCAGATGGACTCCAACTCCCATCAGCCATATCCATCACAGGCAATGATCAGGGATGATGGGAGTTGTGGTCCAACAACATCCAGAGGCACTGGATTCTTCATTCCTTCCAATGCATGATACCGAAATGATCCCCTTGCATTGGGGTTGATACCGTTTGTCTCACTTATTCCTGTGCCCTTTAACAGTAACCAGGCATGCAAAAATGTAGCTGACATTACATGCAAGGAGATAAAAAGACAGGAAAAGCTTCACCTCTTGCATTGCTGCACAAGGTTATCAGGATCAGGTTTCATGGTCTCATTGTGCTCACATCATGCTGCATTAATGAATTGTTGTTGTAAATGGTTTTTAAAAAACCCTCCTTTGGTTCACTAGGTAAACTGAACTGACCTGCAACTCTGCTGCATAGTGGGATACTCTTGACACTGCAGGAACACACTGATTCAGTTATAAATATTTTGACATTGTGGGTCCACTTGTCAACATGTTGGGAGACTGGACTTCGCCAAGGTAAGGGAGCATGTGAACCCCTCTCATTTTCTGCATATGAACTGGATCATTCAGTAATCCTGAATAAAAACTGCTATTATTTCCCTAACAGATAACTTTCACTATCCCACATTTGGTCAGCAACTGACTCTGAAAGCTGTTTTTGAGTTTCATTAAATAAACAAGGCTATTTGCTGGTTTTAGATGTGCGGCCTGTATTTGCATAATGCTGAAACGTTCAATTCTTTGGCAATTCCAGGGGGAATTATTTTCTCTTTCCAATCCGCTGCAGAATGAAAATCCTTCTCCATTTTGGGGGCTAGCCAAAGTTTAACCTCAGGGATGGATGCTCTCTCTCCTCTCTCCCTAATGGTTAAGTTTGTTTTTTATTAAGCTGTATGTTATTTGAAAAGGAGAGAATGGGAAATAAGATCTAGGGGGTCATGTAGGTTTAGTCGCCTGTTGCACAAGCAGTTTATATGATCATTCCACTAACCAAAGAGCATTTTAATGATGGGCATGCCCAGCATAAATTATCAGGGGAGTTCCCCTTTTCCTGGTGAAGTCTACAGTGAATGTAAACAATGTTTCTTGGGACAAGTGAGACTGGCATTCCACAAGGCTGATTCACTGCTTTCTTGACCAACATGAGTTTGCCAGAAGCAATGTGAGTTTGGGGGTCATCATCAACATCTGGATACTATGGAATGAGGCACTTTGAGTTCACAAATGCAAGATCTATGCATTGTTGGGACTAGGGTTTTCTATGGGGAAACCAGTATTTGATATGTGAAGTCACTCTGTTAGTTGGGGCTACCTAGAAAGGTTAATTATAACTTGAGCTTCAATGCTTTGTGGGCCATCGAGGCAAATATTTCTGAGTCTACTGAGATTTAAACCTGTATCGTTCCATAACAGTATACAGGCCTAGTGTCAGAGCCAGTGTTAGGCTTGCCAGAATATTGTTTGCCAGGACTAGAAACAGGAAAGTCCAGATTTCTATGCAGCAGTCCCATGTGACGAGCATTAAGTATTGCACATTTTAACATCTTCCCAGCAGTAAATATGCCCATAGCACTCTCAGGCTCTGCAATGGTCCCATCTAACTAAGCTAGGCAATGCACCCACCTCTTGCTTGCTGGAATAGTGTGTGTGTGTGTGTGTGTGTGTGTGTGTGTGTGTGTGTAGGACCCTGGTTCTTCTGTGGCTGGAATGTAGTTTGTACAAAGGTAAAGAGTCACACCCATTACCCTTCCCACTTTTGCCTCTGGCTGCTCCTACCAGAGGTATGCAGACCCCCAGAAGGTTGCACCTAAGGGACTTTGACCCTCAAGATGAAAAAAGGTTCCTCATAACTTCCTGAATTATGTGTCTGCAGTTAGGCATAGTTGCAATGAGTAGAGAATATCAGATTGTGGGAGGCCTCTTTGGGGTGGGGTGCTGATGAATAGATAGTCACATTATCAGAGCAGAGTTCCTATTTCAGGCCCCTTGATTTATTATTTTGACAGTGCTTGTTGTTTTGTAGCTGCCAACTCCAGCATGTGTTCATTACTCCTTCTCCTTTCCTGGCATTGAAAGGCATTTTTGTTTTGCTGGAGTGAGCACTTATTAACCAGAAGCATTTGTGCTAATAGAGGGCTGGATTAGTCTGAAGAATGCTTTGCCACAAGATATTACGGAAAGGCTTTGAACAGAGGAAAATTGTTCAGAATTTTTTTGAGATTTAGAGATGAGTGAGTAAAAATGTTTCAGTGGCCCTGGTTTACTTGCTGCCTCTTTTAAAAACAAAAAAAGCAAAAAGCAAAGCATGTGCGAGATGATATGTGGATACTGCCATTATATAGCTTAGTCAATAGATGGCAGTGGCCTTATATCTGAGCAGAGTCTGGAGTCCATTCTGGTTTTAAGAGAGACAATAGCATCCTTGTCTACGTTCCTGATTTGGTATGTCCTCTTAGTCTTTGAAAAATGGCAGCACTGTTAGCAAAATTTATCCAGTTGCATTAGACAGAACTATGAATTAAACATCCAGTCCAATATTTCTGTTTCAGCTTGATGGAAAGTTTAAGAAACCCTACTATAGAACTACAAAGCTTTCTGTGTAATGGGATTTTTATTATTTTTTTAATAATACAATAAAATAGTGGCTACAGAAAATACAAATAAGTAGAAAATGGAGTCCTCTCTTAAAAGTAATTCTTAGTCCTCACCAGCCACAGAAGATAGCACCCAGTTCTCACCTGGCATCTTTCATTTCCCCTTCCAGCCTCTCACCCTGGGAGACCAACATTTCCCTGTCTCTCACCAACGGTCTTCTATCTATCATATACCACCCCCATGAGTATACGATCTCTGGACATTGACAAACGTCCCAGACATAGGACTCCAAAGGAAAAAGAAACAGAGAACTACAAAACTCTCCGGCAGATTTGGGTGTCAGAAGGCTCTGTCACCAGGATCTCTTCAACAGCAAGGATCTACTTGGGAGCAGGGGTGGGAAAGTAGATCCAACCAATAGGCTGGATCCAAGTGGTCCCCCACATGTCAATCACCTGGCATCAGATATTCTTGCAAAAGGATGTCTTCCTGATTTGGGGAGAGTAATCAGTCTGAGGGGTTCAGGTGCCTGCTTGATATCATAGGATAGGTGATTTCACAGGTGGAGCACCACAACCTGAATGATTCTCCCATTGTTCACTGCACAGTGGACATGAACCCCCAATGTACGTAGTTATTTCAAGAACTCATTCTGATCTGTATCATAAAACTAGCTCTCCAAGTCTTCTGATAGAGAGTCATGTTCCTGGACATGACGATTGCACATTGACTTGGTGTGATAAATTTCAAAGGGACTTAGGGTGGATTGAAAATGAGCAGGTTTGAGCTTTGCCTTCCCCATCACTACCAACACCATCAAAACACGTTACCACATTCTAATCCCTTCCGTCTCCCTATCAATCATTTACAATAGAAAATGCTTAACACATGAAGTCACGTTTCTGGAGCAGGGTTCATGGAAACTGGTCCAAAATATCTCCAGTAATAAATGAGAATTAA